GATATGTAGATAGATTTAATGGATAGATATGATAGATAAATACAAAGTATAAATAGATATACATATATATTAGATAAGTAGATAGATTTAATGGATAGATATGATAGATAAATACAAAGTATAAATAGATATACATATATTACATAAGTAAATAGGGGGGTAGATTTAGATTGGGTTTACAATGCCAACTCTAGGATCAAAATCTGTAATATTAACAAGCATTTTGCTACTTTGTCATAAAAATGTTGTAAAAAGAACTGTGGTTAAAATTTAAAGGAATCCTACGTTCTATTTAAAGAGGGGCATTCCAGATTCACAACGGTACTCTTTAAGCCTTTGATTGATCAAGGATGAAAGACGTTTCCTGATCTATTTGTAGAAACTCCTCTTATTGTTGAACATTTTGTTTGCAATCTGTTTTATATTTCATATTATAAGATATTAACGTTTATTTTCCGGAAGTCGCAGAATATAAATATTCACATTCAAATTTTGTAAACTTGTGTTGGACATATAATATTCTTGATTTTTAAGGAATTTCTAATGCTGTTTTGATTTCACATAGTCCACTACAGCGTACACTTTAATTTTTCGTCATTTTTAACACAATTTTAGAGACAAAATCACAATGTTCTCTGCTATCGATGATCAGTAAAAGGGTTTATGGGCACCGTTGTGAACCAGGTATGGAGGTTCAATTAATATAATTCAATTACAGTCCCTTTATGAAGGAAGATCTTCATGAATAAGAAGAAACCCTCCTGGTTAATTATGTAAATCTTAACTCACTAAATCTCTTGATCGGAAATTATTCTCAATTTTAAAAGCATTTTCAAAACTTTTCCCATTCCCAGCTGTCTTTTAAAGTGACTGTTCATGATAACTTACAAATTGTTCTCAATCTCTTTAAAGGAACCATGTAAGCGTAATTTCAAAGATTTCAAAGCGTTGTGGACAACTTCTTTCGGATTCATTTGAGACATATTAAACTTTTTAAAGATAAAAGATAAAAATAAAGTAAAAATAATACTGTAATCTAATTAAATGGTCAGGAACATATTTCTTAAAACAAATTTGGCAATAAATCAATGCTAAAATCGATTATTTCGTTTTCATTATTATATTGAATTTCTTATTTTCTTCGAATTTATTCGCAAATTTCTTCAAATTCTTCTTTTCAATAATAATTCTAGAAAATCTGCAGAAAATCTTTGTGAATAATGGAGAAACCAGAATAATGAGAAAATAGAAACTGATAATTGAACAAGATTACTTATTTTCGATGATAAGATTAATTTTTATTTTCTCAACATGTTCCAATACATGACGTCTGTAGTTTATTGTAGAACTTTTTTACATTTTATGTCGTCGTTATTTAGTAATTTAAGAAAACTAATTCTGAAAACGTACCACCCCCAAAGTAGGAGTTTTGAACGTCTAATTGCTCAAACTCAGGATTTACAGATCTTTTAAAAAGTTTCATATGTCTCAAATGAATCCTAAAGAAGTTTTCCACTGCATACTCAGTTCAACTACCTTACATAGCCGGTCACTCCGTTTAACTTTAATCATACTTTTTTTATAATTCTGTTTACAATATGCATTTCTTCTCAGTTCAATACTATGTTGTTTTCATATTTTAAGAAAATTGTAATCGGTTTGTTTCATTAGGTTTTGAAGTATCCTGATTCCTGATGTACTTTAATAATTAAATATTTTCATTCGAATATAATGATCTCTTGAGAAATATTTCTAGGTATTAATTAGTAGCGCGCAGGGTTCATATCATTAATTTAATATCATTTTCATTCATCTTAATTAAACGCATTCATTGTATACAGAAGTTATATCATTTTAGATATTAGTTCTTTTTTGCGGCTCATGTTTCAAAATCTTTAAATTATTTTTGGCTGTTTTTGATTTATTAGACTTTTTTTTTTGATAATTCTGTTTACATCTTCCATTTTTTAATTGAATACTGCTTCTTATATGATTTTTTTTAATGATTTTTGAAAAAATTTTCGGCTTGCTGCTCATATATATCTTTACTAGGCTTTTAGGGCGCTTCGCAACCATCTCCTATTTCAACTTTTAATTGTGGCTTTATCTGTGAGCATCTTCTCTTTGTACAGTAAAAAACAAAACAAAAAAGTTTGCGTATTTCATAATATTTTTCGAGCTTTTTCAAAATTTTACAAAAATAAAAAAATTTTAAATACAAATTTTTTAAATTTTGATCATTCATGAACCTTCACTGGGTCACGTGAGGTCCCACACAAAATTTGGGCCCGATCGGTTCAGCCGTTTTGACGTTTATTGGATATAAAAAAACAGACAAAAAAACAAACAGACACCCAGAGACAAGCTAAATTTATTTATAGATGTTAGGTTTTAATACTTAATATTTAATAGATCGTTTGAAATTAAAAAGTAATTTCAATGCAACTCTTTCTTTGTAAAGTGACATGCATGATTTACAATGGTATCCTTAAAATCAAGGACTAATCAAGAATGCTTGATATATCAATAGCCTTCTCATTGAAAATTTACTATTTTCCATTATGTTTTTATTTTCTGAAGTGACTGATTCAGAAACAATGGAGGAATTTCTCAGAATTAAAAACTTTTCAAGCAAGGAAAAATATTATATCTTTTACATCATAGTTGTAAGTCCATATAATCAAGGAAATTCATCTCATAAATATTCATCCTAAGATTTGCAATACAAGTTTGCATCTGATTTTGTATTTGTTTCTTTGCAATTTCTTGTCTGGCGGAGACGTTGCACCGGAAGGTTTCATTGAAATTCTTGTTTGATCTTGATGCTTGGTGGAAAACCAGGAGATTTCTCTTCGAACGTCCAGAAAAGATCACAGGGTAGGGTTTCTATAGTTGAATATATTCAAATGTTAGAATAGAAATTATTTTCAACATTTTCTTTAGTTTACGGTCTACGGATCACATGAGATCAATTGTTCCATGATCCAAACCTGTACAACGCTACCGGTGTTTACTCGTACCAGCCCGTCTAGTGTGTCTAGTGCGTACTTGACCCAGCGCGCTTTCTAAGCAAGCAGGCTGCTTCACAGTGGGAAGCAATATTATTGAAATTATATAATTTTAAACCTTCAATCAAAATACAGTAAAGTGTACGGAGTTCAAAAATAAATCATATACAGGGTGTCCCACGAAACATGACAGTTGGCGAATAGTTTAAAATGTCTTTTTCCATTATTTGTTCAGTTGTTTGATACCAAAGATCAATGAAAATATTATATGGAAGTATGTTATATTAAAATTTATTTCAAAGTAAAATATAATTTTGCAAAAGATTTGTTTAACTAAAAATAACTATTTCTTAAATGTCATGTTTCGTGGGACACCCTGTAAATAAAAATGAACACTCGCCACAAAATCGATTTATTAATCCCTATATTATTACAAACTGATGACGTAGATATTTTCTAACGTAGAACTTTGACTATTTGATCAAGCAATACCTAAAGTTTGAAATACCAAAGGTTTACGACATCAAATTGCATACGGATTAGATAACTAAATTCTGAGGTATATAATCATGGTTCCTATGATTCGGTCTTTGGAGTGTATGGTACCAAATTTCTGGTTTACACTTCGCTATATGAAAAGAGAGTTACCATGGTGATTTATTATGTATGCTTCTTGTAGAATATCATGGTTATCCTTAGCGGAAACGGAAATAATAATTTCTGATCTAGTTTTCCGTCATACTGCATTAATACTGTATAACTGTACTGTGCAAATACTGATTGCTTTCCGTTAATTCTAACATTTTAATCCTAATATTTTAGAAACCTGATGTCGTAGACCTTGAATATTTACAACTAAGGGTAAAATTATTAGATTGCATAATCCACAGGATGTAATGATTAGAACCGGTTTTTAACAGATCAGCGACGCGGTTTAAATTCTTTAAATCCGACCTCGAAGTCAGAGCTTTTTTGTTGTGAATCTTTGGATCAAGCATAGATCTCCATCTTATCCAGACTTACAGGTTCATTTTATTCCTCTTCGATATCCTGTTGATGGCTCAACTCTGTATGTAAGTGGCACAAAAAATTATATTGTAAAATCACAGCTAGAGATAATGATTAAGACTGGTGAGACTTCAAAGTGGTTTCGATCTTAAAACTTTTCACATGGCTGTATGGATCTATCCTGTCCTGATCTGAAACTTATAAATTAATGGAATGCGTTAAACCCGTTTCTTCTCGCCGCGCAGTATAGTTTAACACTCATTTATCTCATCCAAAAGTTTTCAGCTCTGAAATTTCAAACCATGTTTTCCTTTAGTTTCCTTTTCGAAATATTTCCCTTCACTCTCTTTTTCGCTTCTTTAACTTTCTGATATCATTCTTTTTCTGAAATCTATATATTTCACCATTAATCATCTATTTGTTTTACCTTTTCCTTCCTTGTCCTTTTTTTATGCATTTAACGAAAATGCAGGACAGTTTTCGGCATATTTTCTTCATATTTCCTTTTTTTTGTAATTATACAAATTTTCATACTAGGTTCCATTAAACAGTCTGAGGTCATTTAAAATTTAAAAGAGAAACACGACGATATCTGTTTATCTGAATAATAACTATTTTTTTTCTCTAAAAATTCCTTTTTTCCTGATTCAAATTTATTAAAGAAAGAATAGTATGATACAAAGCTGGCAAAATAGTTTTAAAATTGAAACATTTTGAATTCAATTAGATGATTTTAAACCTCAAGTCTACTTGGATCGATAAAATACATTGACAAAAATATATAAAAAACTTGGTATACTTTTATAATTTTAAATCACAAAAGTATTCAAACAAATGGCTTTCTTTAAAGGGACCGTTAACTTTTTTGGGTAATTTCAGGGTAAACTAAACAGCCTATTTGCTGTTGTTTGGTATTAGTCTTACTTTTCAAAGACAACTGTGGCCGGAGAAAAAGCCGATTTTTCCTTCAGAATTTGAGCGCAAAGGGACGGTCCCTCTCTATAGACACTATTTGATGTTTAGTTTACCCTGAAATTACCCAAATAAGTGAACCGTCCCTTTAAGTACATTAATTTTTGGACATAGATAATAGTTATTTTGATTGTAAACTTGAAATGCACTATTTGGAAGAATTAAATTTCAGAACCACTGATTCGGAAGATTGTTAGTAAAATGAATTTATCTATTGTACAAAAAAATATATTCTTTATTTATGAATTACAAATGCAATCCCCACCCACCATTTTCTAAATTTTAATTTTTCTTTTATCTTATTTGGATATTTCTATTTCTTAGAAAATTCAAAGGAGAAAACTGTAAAAGCAAACATTAGTATTTTCAACATTCATATAATATTATTCTAACAAATTTCATTTTCATCATAAAATGCTAGACAACTAAAAACAGATTTGTGAATATAACCGTTTGTCAATCAGACATGCCACTTTATACTCTGTTGTTTATCAGAAGGGTTGTAAACCTACATAAAGGAAACAAAACCAGTATTTATTATCGGAAACACCACCCTGGACTAACAACGACGAAGTGCATTCGGTTTCACTTTCTTTAATTTACATTCCATCTCGTCTTGGTCTGTAATTCAACATTTTTACATTTCTGTTTTAATTGGTTAAATTATTATCGAAAGTTACATCTTCCTTGGAATTGATATTGCACTAGTCAATTTAAGTTCCAGATTTTTTAAATATCAGTGTGCAGTTTCAGTACACTGTACATATTGTAAGAAAGTTGTACCGTTATACGTATTTTTTTTAAAGCATAAATGACAGTTAAACAAAATATTTTAGATTTTTTAACAATTTTAAAGTTTCGGCCGTCAAACGGTGCGTCTTCCGAGCTGCCAGAAATGTTTAAAATGTTGCTAAGACTGCACTACCAACGAGTCGCAATAAGTAATCTTAGGACCATGCGAGCCTCAGCAAAATGTTCTTTTGCTTACACAGAGTAAGAGTTTCTGTTAAAATCTACATCTATAACAAAGGATAATGCGTCGTGAAGGTTTGCGTAACTAGATGAATTCTCAAGAATAATTCCGCTCTCTGCTAAATTCCGACTGTACGCACTTAGGTTTACATCTCCAGTATCTTCTAGCTGACGGATCATTGTGTACAGACTCATATAGTAGATTCCTCCGTCATCAGTAGGTCTGAAAATAAGACTCATATAGTAGATTCTTCCCTCATCAGTAGGTCTAAAAATAAGACTCATATAGTAGATTCCTCCGTCATCAGTTGGTCTGAAAATAAGACTCATATTGTAAATTCCTCCGTCATCAGTTGGCCTGAAAATAAGACTCATATAATGGATTCCTTTGTCCTCAGTAGGTCTGAAAATAAGACTCATATAGTAGATTCCTTCGTCCTCAGTAGGTCTGAAAATAAGACTCATATAGTAGATTCCTCCGTCATCAGTAGGTCTGAAAATAAGACTCATATAGTAGATTCCTCCGTCATCAGTAGGTCTTAAAATAAGACTCATATAGTAGATTCCTCCGTCTTCAGTAGGTCTGAAAATATGACTCATAGAGTAGTTTCCTCCGTCTTCAGTAGGCCTGAAAATAAGACTTTAATGTGATAATCCATAGAACTTTGCAATCTGAATCACATTTTAAATTTTTTGGATCCTTTGATCTAGCAGAACTCATAGTTTGACATTTACACACCATCAGGTTGCAATGATTGATTATAAAATGTACCCGAACATAATTGCAAGATATTTAATTGACCTAACAAGAATACTCTTTAATATGAAGAGAAAGTTCGGTTTATAACAATAGGTGAAATATTCCTAACACTCGCTTCATAATTTCGAACAAAGGAAATGAGTCTTACCCACAAACTCAAATCTTCATTTGATCTAACAGAACTAATAGTTTGAAATAACTAAGGTCTACGACATTGGGTTGAAAAGATAAACAGATTAGAAACCATAATTTTTAAACGCTTTCGTATGTTCTCTACAACGAAAGAAAATGTTAAGGGTTTTCTAACGGTGTATGCTTGATGATGCTATATTTGATGTTATCTCTCATCATATTTACAAAGAAAACATAATCTGAGAGATGAATCAGGGAAGAAGCCATTCTAATGTTGAAATTTAATACAGAGAATCTTTCTTTAATTCTTCATGCTCCAAACCAAATAATTAAAATAAATTTTTTTATCGACAAGAACTTGTTTTAATCATGCTAAATAGTTATTTAATATTAGAAAAAAGTTGAACTATTTAAATACAAGAATACAAATTGAAGATCGTCTTTAATTTTTGAAATTATTTGCAGCATAAATTTGTCAACCTACTTTACAAGATCTAATAATTGAAACAATAATCACAAAATTCTCCGTTTCCTGGCATTTCCAAAATGTGGGCTGCGTTTTCTTTTTTCTTAAATTACCGTATATTTCAATATATCAAACTAAACCAAAGTTGTCTAAATCTAAACGAAATTCTTCATATTTCTAGAGATTGTTTGTGCTCATTATTTCAAAAATTTTACGCCAGGTTTAGTGAAACAACCTATACTTAGTACTAGCTAGACAAAAGTCGAAGTTAGAGTCAGCCCGGGTCAAATTATGACTTTTTAAACTTTTTTCTATACTGTGAGCAAAGCGAGACTTTTCAGATGTTTTATTACATCTTGAGCAAATCTTAAGCTTTAAGTTTTTAATACCTAGAGAAAAAGCAAGACTGTTCAGATGTATCGTTACACCTTGAGCAAATCTATTTGTTCAGCAAGAGCGCAAATTCAATAATTAAAGTCCTTATTGATTGTCATTTTGAACGGATGATTTTGAGAATCGGTGTTATAAAAATCATTCAAAAACGACGAAGAAAATTTCTCCTGTAAACTAATCAGATGTGTAGGAACATATTTCTCATTAGAAATTTCTCAATAAATCAATGTTAGATTCAATTGTTTCTTTTTAATTATTATATTGATTTTCTTATTCTTTATGAATTTGTTTGAAGATTTCTTCAAATTATTCAAATGTCGTCTTTTCCTGAAAAATTCCAGAAAATCTACAGAAACTGGTTTTGTACATTGAGACATTACAGAAACCAATAACTGAATAAGATTCCTTTTTTTCGATGATAAGAGTTAATGTTTATTTTCTCAACCTATTCCTTAAAAACTATTATTGGTTTACTTCAGAATTTGTTTGTTACATTTTTGTCGTCGTCATTGATTAATTTAAACAAAACCGATTCTCACAAGCATCCCTCCAAAATGGACAATCTCTGAGGATTTTAAATATTGAAATTGCGCTCTTGCTGAACAAATATGCACCGTAAAAACGTCTGATAGGTCTAAAATGAATCCTTACAAATTTCTCACTTCAACTACCATACATTGCCGGTCACTTTCTTTAATCAAATCTAAAATCTTTAAGTTTCTTATACCTGGAGCAAATAAGAACTTTCCCTCCCAAGGTTTGTGTTGATGCAGCCGCAGATTTGATGAATGAGAGAAATGAATGTAGGTTGGATCTGATATTCCTCTCCGACCACTGGGTGTACAGAAGCTGGTCAACTGATCTAGTCTGACGACCTTTCCGAACCTAAATCAGGGATTGTATAAGAGGGTGAAACTTTTGAATTTTAAATCTGTTTCTGATGTGCTCAGTTGGTTCCTTTTTCTTCCAAGCATTTTCCCTTGTCGGCAAACATAGCCACCCTTTTTTGGATCATTCTTAGCTTTTTGTCTTGGCGGATTTCGCGTACATTTCAATTTCAAAATTTACATGTGGATATCGAGTTCAGTCGCTGCTGCTATGCTCTCAACAAAGTTTTAATCTCAGATTTCCCGGATCCGCCATGAGGGTAGGAATTAGCCATGTTTTAAAAATCGCTTTTTTCTTTTTTTTGACGTAAAGTGCAACAAAATCAAAATTTTCCAATTCCAATTTCCAATTCAAGAGAAATGACTATAAGGGGATCTTGAGAATTTTTTGGACATTTTAATTCAATTTTATTTGGGGTTTCCATGAGAAAACACTTTTCATTTTATTTCAGAGTAGTTATTTGTTAAAAATTGCCTTTTATAACAATAAAAAATATTGTTATATTTTAATTATAAAACCAGCAAAATTTGTATTCTATCCTAATATTCATAGCAACAGATAAGCCGGAAACTGTTGTCCCACCAATACGATTTTTTGTGGTCCCATCAATACGATTTTTTGTTGTCCTACCAATACGATTTTTGTTGTCTCATCAATACGGTTTTTTGTTGTCCTACCAATACGGTTTTTGTTGTCCTACCAAAACAATTTTTGTTGTCCTACCAATACGATTTTTGTTTTCCTACCAATACGATTTTTGTTGTCTCATCAATACGGGTTTTTGTTGTCCTACCAATACGGTTTTTTTGTCCTACCAATACGGTTTTTGTTGTCCTACCATTACGATTTTTTGTTGTCCTACCAATACGGTTTTTGTTGTCCTACCATTACGATTTTTGTTGTCCTACCAATACGGTTTTTTGTTGTCCTACCAATACGGTTTTTGTTGTCCTACCAATACGGTTTTTGTTGTCCAACCAATACGGTTTTTGTTGTCCTACCATCACGATTTTTTGTTGTCCTACCAATACGGTTTTTGTTGTCCTACCATTACGATTTTTTTGTCCTACCAATACGTTTTTTTGCTGTCCTACCTAATCAATTTTTTGTTGTCCTACCAATACAATTTTTTGTTGTCCTACCAATACGTTTTTTGTTGTCCTAGCAATACGATTGTTTGTTGTTCCATCGATACGGGTATTTGTTGTCCTACCAATACGTTTTTTGTTGTCCTACCAATATGTTTTTTGTTGTGGCAAAATTTGTAAAGGTATTGTGATTTGAAAGCCTAATTTTATCAAAAACAATTTTTGAATATCTAAATTGTTCAAAGTATTTCTTTGTAACGATATTTAAAAACATTTTTGAATGAGAATAAAGTGGTAATTAAAGAAGTTGAAAAATATGATAATGTAAAAATAAGAGAGAAAACCACACTTAGCGAAGAAATATTTTGAAATAACATTAGAATAATTAAATTAAAAAACTGGTCACGAAAAGAGCATGTTCTACAGTTTAAACCAGATATTGGAAAACATGTTGATGTCTAATTCCTTGAAAATATAGAATTATAGAAAATAGAGTTTTTATTCAAACTAATTCTACTTATAATCCAGCAGCAGGCAGGCAGACATAAAAACACTGGATTAAAAAGGATTTGAAGTGATAGAATTGTCTGCTTGATTCTAATAGCTAGTCTTAATAGCTTTGTTTTATCAAGTATGATTTAGATATCTATATAGATATCATATTTTGAAACTGGTCATTTTCAATTGTGGTGACTCAACTGAAAGAAACCCATAGAGGAATTGTCAGAATTGAACACTTTTTAAGCTAGAAAAAAAAGAGGTTGTGGGGACATTTCCTCAATCTCCTGAATTCTAAAAAGGAAAGATACCGATTTATTGTTTACATATTTTGATTAATTGGTGGTGGATTGTTAAATTTTTTTTAGCAATCAATTCACAACTTAAAGGAATTAGAACTGTAGATATTTTATATACAGTTTTTGATTAATTGGTGGTGGATTGTTAACATTTTCTAGCAACCAATTCACAGCTTAAAGGAATAAGAACTGTAGATTTATTGTTTACAGTATTTGATTAATTGGTGGTGGATTGTTAATATTTTTCAGCAATCAATTCACAGCTTAAAGGAATAATAACTGCAGATTTATTGTTTACAGTATTTAATTAATTGGTGGTGGATTGTTAACATTTTTCTACAATCAATTCACAGCTTAAAGGAATAAGAACTGTAGATTTATTGTTTACAGTATTTAATTAATTGGTGGTGGATTGTTAACATTTTTCTACAATCAATTCACAACTTAAAGGAATAAGAACTGTAGATATTTAGTTATATTGTAGATGAATTTGGTTTCATTTGTGTAAAAAACTAGTAAGTAATATTTGGAAAACTTTTATAGTTAGAGTAATTCCTAAATTGCTTGTTATACTCTAGACTTAAGATATTTCTAAATGTAAGATGTAATCTTGTTTATTAAGTAAATAGGTTTCTTACTTTCATGTTTCTCGCCAGAAAATCCGGGGATACAGTCTCATTCTCAACCTGCACCTAGATAAGTAGAGTTTTAACCTTGTATCTAAACCTAAACCTGGACCTAAACCTAAACAGTGGCCGAAACCTGATCCTGAACCTTAACCACAACCTAGTCCTAAACAACCTAGTCATGAACACGAACATGAACATGAACATGAACATGAACATGAACATGAACATGAACATGAATATGAACATGAACATGAACATGAACATGAACATGAACATGAACATGAACATGAACATGAACATGAACATGAACATGAACATGAACATGAACATTAAAATGAACATGAACATGAACATGAACATGAACATGAACATGAACATGAACATGAACATGAACATGATCATTAACATGAATTACCTGATATTCTCCGAAGAATTTAGAATCTGATATCTGTGACAGATCATCTCTGGTTCGCGGTGTCTGGATTGTTACGATCAGATTAACCTAAACATAAATTCATGAATATACTGAACATCGTCATGGAACCTAGTATCAGAAACCGGGTTTCACGAATGGGGTTATGCAATTTTGTAGATATATTATTTTACATGGTTAGTTTAATGTTCTCTCTTTATTTTCTACTTCTTGTGTAAATCTACAAAATGTACATAGACCATAGAACGGAAACTCGGGAGTTTCGTTCAACGATACTCTTTTAAATTTGGGGCTATGTGAGGTTTGACCTTTTGTGTTGCTTACTCCATTTTGAAAGCACAAATCTGGATAACGCGGATGGATTAAGTGGATAACATGGACGGATTAAGTATCTAAAAATCTGTATCTTTAAGTGGACAACGTGGACGGATTAAGTATCTAAAAATCTCTATCTTAAAGTGGATAACGTGGATNTTAAGTATCTAAAAATTTGTATCTTTAAGTGGATAACGTGGACGGATTAAGTAATTTAATTTTTATTACTATTAATCTAGCGTTTATGAGTCAGGAACACCTGTATTGTGGTGATCAATGCTACCTTGATCTTGATCTTTTGTTAATTTACAGATTGATTAAATCTTGATTTAATATTCCTTGAGGAATAATGCAATGAAGATATAAAGCATTGATCCTCAAATTAAATTTGCCCACTGTTAATATCGAGATCAAGAAATTGGGATTATGAGCTTCCAACACAAATACATATACATGATTGGTTCTACTCTTTTTACCTGGTTCTCCCAGATAGATCTCCAGGTTCCCCCTGCTACTATACCTGGTTCTCCCAGATAGATCTCCAGGTTCCCCTGCTACTATACCTGGTTCTCCCAGATAGATCTCCAGGTTCCCCCTGCTACTATACCTGGTTCTCCCAGATAGATCTCCAGGTTCCCCCTGCTACTATACCTGGTTCTCACAGATAGATCTCCAGGTTCCCCCTGCTTCTATACCTGGTTCTCCCAGATAGATCTCCAGGTTCCCCCTGCTACTATACCTGGTTCTCCCAGATAGATCTCCAGGTTCCCCCTGCTACTATACCTGGTTCTCCCAGATAGATCTCCAGGTTCCCCTGCTACTATAACTGGTTCTCAAAGATAGATCTCCAGGTTCCCCCTGCTACTATACCTGGTTCTCCCAGATAAATCTCCAGGTTCCCCCTGCTACTTTACCTGGTTCTCCCAGATAGATCTCCAGGTTCCCCCTGCTACTTTACCTGGTTCTCCCAGATAGATCTCCAGGTTCCCCCTGCTACTATACCTGGTTCTCCCAGATAAATCTCCAGGTTCCCCCTGCTACTTTACCTGGTTCTCCCAGATAGATCTCCAGGTTCCCCCTGCTACTTTACCTGGTTCTCCCAGATAGATCTCCAGGTTCCCCCTGCTACTAAAGCCCCCTCTCCGGGTATAAGAATGAACTGTCCTGCTGAGAGCCAACTGTCTACACTAACAGGTCTCCTGTCTGTCAATCCTACGAGACAGTTCAGACATTAATTCAATTTGAAATTTATTTCAAAAATTGCAGAGTAGTGAAAATCCACTTTGTCGGGACAGACATTGATTTTGGAACTGCAGAGGGTGTCTGAAAGTTTTCTGAACATTCTATCTTGACAAATAAATGAAATGAGTCTTTCCTGCAAAATCTGATTTTCTAAACTTTTTATCTTTGCAACCCAGTTGCGCAGACTATTTCAAACTATGAATTCTGTTAGATCATACGACAAAGATAACATTATCAATAATTATTAAATTAATATATATACATATACATATCACCGGATATAACTTTAAGAACTTGGATGGAAACCATTTTGTATTTAAAGTACAGAATTTTTAATATTACAAAATCAAATACTCTTCCTCCCTTGTTCTTAATTCTGAACGTTCTTATGTTGTAATTATGTAGAAAACTATAAATACTTATGCAAATACATGCAGGGTTAGAAGGGAGAAGTAAATTAAGCAATTTTTTCTCCTAGCGCTGGACAGGGTACATAGGCACAAAGATGACAGAGATTGGACAGGATAAATACTATAGGAACAGGGATTACAGAGATAGGACAGGATGTATTCTATACTATAGAACAGTATAAATACTATAGGAAAAGAGGTTACAGAGATAAGTCAGAAGATAGACAACAGGAACAGAGATTAAATAGATAGGACAAGAGATATACTATAGAAACATATATGCCAGAGATAGGACAGGGGATATGCTACAGGAACAGAGATTACAGATATAAGACAGGATAAATAATATAAAAACAGAGATTACAGAGATAGGAAAGGATAAATACTATAGGAACAGAGGTTACAGAGATAAATCAGGAGATAAACAATAGGAACAGAGATTAAATAAATAGGACAAGAGATAAACTGTAGAAACAAATATGCTTGAGATAGGACAGGGGAAATACTATAGGAACAGAGATTACAGAAAAAGGACAGGATGAATACTATAGAAACAGAGGTTACAGAGATAAGTCAGGAGAAAGGACAAGATATTTACTTTTGTGTTATTCTTTACATTTGTGTTATTCTTAGCAATGTTCTTAAAAAGATATTCCTTTTCGAAAGTATAGATTTCAAATCAATTTAAATCAAACTAACAATATTTTACTAACAAGTTGTATTACTATAATCATTCTACTAAACTTGCTTTTAATGATATGTCTAATCCTTTCCTCCTTCCCCTCCCGTCCTTGTTTTTTTTTCCAATCCACCGTTTATCCCCTCTTTTCCTCCGATCCTTGTTTTTTTGCAATCCCCCGTTTATCCCCTCCCGTCCTTGTTTTCTTCCAATCCCTCGTTTATCCCCTCTTCCCCTCCCCTCCCCTCCTAAATGTAAAACATGAGAAATCTGATAAGCTTATAAAATAAAAAAGGTCTATGGCTTCCTCTCTTTACCTCCCCCTTCTCCCTGAGGAATCCTAAGACTAGTTAAAGGGACTGTCGACATTATTTCAAGTAACCTCCCAATTAAAGGGAGTGTTTGCGAAAAATGAAAGGGGGTATAGGCTAACGACAAATCAAATTCGAGAGTGATCGCTACTAATCATACTTCTATCTGTTGCGTCTGTAAGAAGAAAATTGTTAAACACGACTCATACCGAATAGCGTAGCGTCCAAACAAATTCTCATAGTTGCAATATTTCACTCAGATCGTATAAATAATTCAATTTAATTTAAAACAAACCATTCACATGTTATAGCCTTTTACTATCGAAATTAATTCAACGCATTCATATATAGTTGATATTTCACAATATTTTTATTTGTTTTCCTAAATTGTGCAATGCAATTGAAATTGACCTTAAAGAAACTAAATCTGCAAAATGATATAAATCAATATTTATCTTAAGAATTATGAGAGGTTTAAATGCGAAAAAGCTAGTTGTATATCGTGTGAATAAATTTTATAAAAAAAAACTGAAAAAAAACTGAAACTTAATTTGCTTATTTGTGTTTCTGTAACTACCATCCTTAACACCCTGTATTTCAATTTATCTCTACATTAATCCCTCTGATCTAAACCTGCCACAGATCACCTGACAATATCCTTCCTTCAAATAAACTCCTTATCTATCCAAAACATAACTTGATGTGTTTAACTAATTATATTCAGTATCGTTAACTAACTTTGGGCCAACCACTCAAAACAAACTACCCTGGTTAGGCGGGTCCAAACTGCATAATAAATTGTGATTGTTTTTTTGTGATATCTTATGTCATATCTCAGTTCAATAAAAATATGAAATATGAATACACAATGTACTTTAAGCAATGATTTTGGTGGTCTCTAGGTGTCTTGCTCTTCAACGTAGAACACATAAAGCATCAAAAGCAGAGACACCTAGTGGCCAAATAATCGTCATTGAAAGTATATTGTATGAAACAAATAGAAGATATTATTAAATATTAACTATTTATAAATGCATGTAATAAAATTCAATGATTATTGATTACAGGTTGAAATATCTGAATGATTAATATATATATTTAATAGAATTAGTTACGATCTGAGTGGAATAACATAACTTTGTGAATTTGTATGGACGCTACGTTTTTTTCTACAATTCGTGTTTAACCAGTTTCTACAGATAGATGTAAGATTAGTAGCGATCACTATTGATTCAACGTTAGCCTATACCCCCTTTCATTTTTCGCTAACACTCTATTTAAAGAGATTTATTTACATGCTTGTTTTACATCAATACCCTTTTGACCATTATCAGAGCCATTCTACGAAAGATATTGTACTTATTCTTCAATCAAGCATATTAAATTCTCTTATTTTTTTCCTTCTCTCTGAAAGAAAATCCGCATCGTATGATATATTCATAATTTTTTGTTTTTTCAACTATAGTTTTTCAAAATAGTGAAATGCATATTTTGGAAATTGTGAAGCAAGAAAAACGATTGAACTTCCACATTATTAATCTTATAATAGTTTAAACGATACCGGTGTTTAAACTAAACTTGACCCCCAATTATATCCGGGTATAGTTTTCTACTGGATTAAACTAACCTTGACCTCCAACTATATCAGGGTATAGTTTTCTACTGGATTAAACTAACCTTGACCCCCAACTATATCAGGGTATAGTTTTCTACTGGATTAAACTAACCTTGACCCCCAACTATATCAGGGTATAGTTTTCTACTGGATTGTCTAGCTGTTGTCTCCAGGTTCTCATAATCCTTACAGATTGCCATATCTCCGCTAGCATGAAGTCCCTGAAAAATATTCAAGTTCCAGAGCTGGGAACTCTTGGGTTGTGAATATCGAGATCAGTGCATGATCTCGATTTTTTGTTAATCTGCAGATTAATTTAATTTTTATTCTATATCCCGCATGGTTATTGGAGCAATAACTGAAACAAAGTGCTCACTGTGGATAACGAGATCAACCGATTGGGATTAAAAGTATTCAAAACAAAAGTTCCCAGCTCAGGATGTTCATTGATTTCTAAATTATCTTATTTTTTCTCTTCAAATACCATCAAAATTAAAGTGCATCAAATTTGTCTGAAAATGTTGAAGAGCTCCATGTTATTTATTCATCGAACTTTTATTTTGATGGTTGAAAAATACATCAAATATTAAAAATGTAACTTCTTTATAGATTTGTTTCTGTAAATAGAGATAAATACAGTGAAAAAATATAAAAGCGTCCAAAAATACACTTTTCACCAAATTTTATAAAAATCATAAAGCTATGATGTGTCCCAATAAACTTGATAATACAGGGTGTCTCATAAAACATGGGAATTCAGTGACGAATTCGATATCGTCTTTGTTATGAACTAGCATAGTAATACCTAATTTCAAAAGCCATACTATTTTTATGTCTGCTAGAGTTTATTTTATAAAAAGGGTAAAAGACTGCAAAAATGTGTCTATAATGTCTCTGCAACATGAACAGTGAAGACGGAGAAGTTTACTCTAATTGTGTACTGCAATTTTCTTGTTTTACTAAGTACAACCGTATGCAGTCAAAACATAAACAAACAAAATGTGAACATAGCAGACGAAACTCATACAGATTACAGCTTTCTCATGGTAGGTATCACTATACTAAATCAAAGAACTATTTAAAAAGACGATATCGAATTCGTCACTGAATTCCCATGTTTATTGGGACACCCTGTACAAAGTCGGTCTTTTTCTACTAGTTTCTCAATTTTTTATGTTTTATTCTATTGGATGTATTAAAAATATTATCAGACTTTAGGGCAATAAACATTAATGGATCCAGACTGATGAATCGATTAGATATTTACGAAATAAAGGTTTGATTGATTGATTTGTTTTATTTACTTATCTATTTTATATTGATTGATTTATTGATTATTTTTTGGATTTATTTATTGATTGATTGACTGATTAATTGAGTGACTGAATGATAGAGTATTACCTGAATATGTTTTGGGAAAAGTTGACCAGGAATATCAGATTCAGGTTCACCAGTCCAACCCCGCCCCCTGCCACGCCCACTAGCGTAAGCGGTACAGGGCGGGACAGCCACCAAACCATACCCAGATATACGTCGCCTGTAGAGTAAAAGTTGAAAGAAAATGCTTAGATTAGAAAATGAAAATAAGAATGATTTAAAAATATATAAAATATAAAGAGGAACACATTAGAAGAAATAACACGCATCAAGTAACACAGGACATGGAACACAGTACCAGTAACAAAGAACGAGGAACACAGAACAAGGAATACTGAACAAAAACCACAGAACAAGGAACACAGACAAAGGATCGAAGAAAAAAGAACATAGGTTAAGGAACACAGAAAAAGAAACACAGAACAAGGAACACAAAGCAACAAGAACACAATGTAACACAGGACAAGGAAAACAGATTAAGGAACATAGAACAAGGAACACAGAACAAGGAACAAAGAACAAGGAACACAGAACAAGGAACACAGAACAAGGAACCTAGAACAAGGAACACAGAACAGGGAAGCTAGAACAAGGAATACAGAGCAAGGAACACAGAACAAGAAATACAGAATAAAGAACACAGAACACGGAACGCAGAAAAAGGAACACAGAATAAGGATCACAGTACAAGAAAAAACAGAACAGAGAACACAGAACAAGGAACCCTTAAAGTTACCCAGGACAAGGAACACAGAACAAAGAAACACAGAACAAAGAATACAGAAAAAGGAACATAGAGAAAGAACACAAGGAACACGGAACAAGGAACACAGAGCAAGGAAAACACAGTACAGGTAACACATGTAAAAAGACAGAACAAGGAACATACTACAGGGTAATAAAACACATAAATATGAAGTGTGGAGAGGGGGGGGGGTCCAAGAAAAGGGAATATAGATACTGCGACAGTTGAACAACTGGTGTGGACTCGTGGAGGGGTTTAAAATGAAATATTAGTTGAATTTTATGACACAAGTATTGTTTCATTTTATGACAAGGATATTGTTTTTATCACCCTCTCGGGTAGAGATGTTTTCAATACAGGTTCTCATAAACACATTTATCAAACTTCTTATATACACACTGTATACAGTAGCTGGGAGTATAAAAGCCCGGTTCAGTGGTTAATCGGGACTTGATCCAAGCTTTCAAGGACTGATCTGGGCTTTTAGATTCACAGCACAGGACAAATAGTTGATCCGGTAGTTTTCTTATTTTCTTTTGAAATTTACGACATTTTATAATGTAAAGAGGGGGAGGGCGGTCATAAAAGGGGAAATTAATGAGGGAAACATAGGATAAATATCGGAAGTGGATTATTATGGAGTGAGGGTTTCAAAGGATTAAGGCGGGGTAGGGAAATGATATTAAGTAAGAGAAGGGGAAACTTATTTAGGGGTGGATTAAATGGGAACAACAAATGAGGGGGGGGGGGCTGGATCATTATTGGTGAGGTAATTATGGTTATCATTATTATTATTATTATTATTATGAATCAAAGAAGCAAAAAGGGTGAATATGAAAAATGTAAATTTGATAAACTAGATGAAGATAAAAAATTAAGTTTTAAAAGATAAAACATCTTATGTTTGCATTCCTTCATTTATCATATATTCAGAGGGTAGGTTTAGAAGGATCTAAAATTCTAGATCTTTTTCTATTCTCATTAATTATTTATCCAGGAAATCTTACAAATTGTAAAAGTTTGGAACTAGTTATTTATTGACGAATAGTCCGAGAAATCGTTTTGAAAATTAGAAGGGAAAAAGGAAGAGGAAGGGAAGGTTCTGGACAAGTTAGGTAGGACGGGTCAGGATAAAAATGAAAGAAAAGAATTAAAGAAAATCAGGATAAAGATAAAATAAAGAGTTAAGGCGAAGATGGATATCATGAAAAGGATGAGGGTAAGAATGAGAATGAAGATAAGAATGAAAAAAATATAAAAAAATAGAAACAGAAAAAGTTAGTAATGTGATAAGTATATTTTAAAGAAGGTTGAGAACGAAAATAAAGGATAGAGAAATTGATGACAAAGAATGAGGATAAAAGAGAAGACATTATAAGGAATGGTATGAGTAGGAGGGAATGAATGAGAATGACAAATCAAAATATGATAAGGATAAGGAAAAGGAGGAAGAATACAATGATTGGGATGAAAAGGAGGACTAAGACAAGTATGAGGATGAAGATGAGGATCAGGAAGATGAAAAAGATAAGAATCAGGATGAGCTTGAAGATAAGGATAAAAATGAAAATAATGATAAGAATGAGTATGTAAACGAAAATGGTTAAAGATGTCAATAAAGGATATAAACAAAAAACACCTATCTACCTGCAGATGAAAGTAGAGACTACTAAAAGGATGATTACAAGCAGAGCTCCGAGTCCTGCAGCTACTAGGACCAGGTTGAGACTAGGAGTGTATATCAGTATACTGCTAGATACAGGACTACACCCATAGTTGAGATAAACATACTTGTTCACAGAGAGACGGGACTCAAACTCAATACCTAGGGTAGAAAAGACATGTTAAAACTAAAACAGAAAATATATGGGTTTGTGACAATCAAACCTCTAAAAGAACTGGAAGCAGGATAGAGTAGGATAGAGTAGGATAGAGCAGGATAGAGTAGGATAGAGTAGGATAGAGTAGGATAGAGTAGAATACAGGATAGAGTAGGAAAGAATAGGATAGAGTAGGATAGGTTAGGATAGAGTAGGATAGAGTAGGATAGAGTAGGATAGAGTAGGATAAAGTAGGATAGAGTAAGATGGAGATGAACAGATGGGACCAAAACTGAGCAACTTCTCATGTCAACAGTAGAAGTTTTCAAGCTTTGTTTGCTGAGGTGCAAATTTCCAATTTTCTTCCTCCTGGTTGGAGAGATGTGCAATGTGCATTTATAGTTCTCTATCTACTTAAAACTCTAGCATGCTAGGTGACAACCTTACTTTCGAGCTATATCTTCAAATTTTCTAGCCATCTAGCTGTAGGATCCTTCGATCGTACAGCCATCTAGCTGGAGTTACTTCGCTAGGATTCTAGCAGGTTAAGTTTTTCTCCTTAATTTTCTTGCTATCTCACTGGATATCTTCTTCCACTTGGTTTTCAAGCTATCTAACTGGATATCTTCTTCCGCTTGGTTTTCTAGCTATCTAACTGGATATCTTCTTACACTTGGTTTTCTAGTTATCTAACTGGACATATTTTCAACTTGGTTTTCAAGCTATCTAACTGGATATCTTCTTACACTTGGTTTTCAAACTATCTAACTGGATATCTTCTTACGCTTGGTTTTCAAGCTATCTAACTGGATATCTTCTTACACTTGGTTTTCAAGCTATCTAACTGGATATCTTCTTACACTTGGTTTTCAAGTTATCTAACTGGATATCTTCTTCCACTTGGTTTTCTAGCTATCTAACTGGATATCTTCTTCCACTAGGTTTTCTAGCTATCTAACTGGATATCTTTTCCACTTGGTTTTCAAGCTATCTAACTGGATATCTTCTTACACTTGGTTTTCAAGTTATCTAACTTATTATTGGCTTTCGACCTATCTAACTGGATATCTTCTTCCACTTGGTTTTCAAGTTATCTAACTGGATATCTTCTTACACTTTGTTTTTAAGCTATCTAACTGGATATCTTCTTACACTTGGTTTTCAAGTTATCTAACTGGATATCTTCTTACACTTGGTTTTCTAGTTATCTAACTGGATATCTTCTTACACTTGGTTTTCAAGCTATCTAACTGGATATCTTTTTATTATTGGTGTTCAAGCTATCTAACTGGATATCTTGGTTTTCAAGCTATCTAACTGGATATCTTCTTACACTTGGTTTTCTAGTTATCTAACTGGATATCTTCTTACACTTGGTTTTCAAGCTATCTAACTGGACAGGTTCCTTCGTTCTTGATCAGTCAAAGCCATAGAATAAGATTAAGCTTTTTAGTTTACCGTTGTTAATCGGACTCTTTTATTAGAGGGACACTTGAAATTACATTAAAAGTACATTTAAGCTCTGAAGATTATCAGTAATTTAATGTTTAATTGAATTCATATGTTTCAGATTTTTTATCGTTCCCAGTAACAAGTTGCTAGTTGCTAGTTTTAGTTGTTAGTTGCTAGTTGCTAGTTGCCAGTTCCTAGTTGTTCGTTGCTAGTTGCTAGTTGCTATTTGCTAGTTGCTAGTTGCTAGTTGCTTGTTGCTAGTTGCTAGTTGCTAGTTGCTAGTTGCTAGTTGCTAGTTGCTAGTTGCTAGTTTCTAGTTGCTAGTTGCTAGTTGCTAGTTTCTAGTTGCTAGTTGCTGTTGCTAGTTGCTAGTTGCTAGTTGCTAGTTGCTAGTTGCTAGTTGCTAGTTGCTAGTTGTTAGTTGTTAGTTGCTAGTTGCTAGTTGCTAGTTGCTAGTTGCTTGTTGCTAGCTGCTAGTTGTTAGTTGCTAGTTTCTTGTTGCTATATTTGCTAGTTGCTATTTCCTATTTGCTTATTTCTAGTTCCTTGTTCCTAATTCCCAGTTTCTTAAGTCCCTAGTTCCTAGTTCGTATGTTCCTAGTTTCTAATTTCTAGTTCCCAGTTCCTTGTTTTCAGTTTCTAGTTTCTAGTTCCTAGTTCTTAAATTGTTCGTGAGGAAAAATCTTTAATAATTATTTTCCAAGTTTGTTTGTCAGGCAAAGGTCAAGAAGAAATGAAAAATGTTCATCAATACGTTTCATTTATTTTATATTTTTGTGCACTGAGAGCCAAACTTTTTAATTTGTGGCTAATCTGAAGCTCAGTCACAAACTCGAATTTTCCCATCACTATGTATTTGCAACCTGATGGTGTACACAAAGATATAGAATGTGGTTATATCTTGTAACAAAATTATATTTTATCAGAGATAAATAAAGATTTTAGATAATTAAAGTAAGTTACAGCGTATCTTATAGGTATTTGAACAACACTATAGTCTAGTATAGGTTCAAATAAAAAGGAAGAAATTAAGATTTAAAAAAGAGATTTATATAACTATGTAAGAAAAATTAAGACCCCTTTCAGACTATATTCATGGTTTTAAACAGTTCGGTGCATAGTCTAGTACACAAACCCATTTCACTAAATAGTTATTTATCAAGTTATTGAAAAACATGTTTGCTTCTTTTGCTTAGTAAAATTCGTCTTCATGTTCAGCAGTTTAACTTGAATTAACGTATTATTTCTAGTTTCCAAAACTGGAAAAGCGTTTATTGCATATAAGTTTTCCAACATTACATATATGTTTTATAACATTGCATATATGTTTTACCACAATACATATATGTTTTACAACATTGCATATATCACGGTGGACTGCAGTCAATTTTAATTCCAACCGTACCGACCCCTTGTACCGGCCTTAGTAACGCATGGCGAGTACCGGCCTGCGATACTATCCTAGACCGGATCGGTCTAAACTTTAATGGCGCGACTACGACTCCTTAGTTTAGTGTTGATATGAACTGCTAACCTGGTAAATGTAAGGATACAGATACTGCCGATACAGCAACATTGTAGTTTGTATCATTCTCCAATCCTGTCAGATACACCTTAAACAATATTTGTAACAAACCCTTTAAAAGATTAAAAACAAAGAATTTAAAAACTCGCCCCAAACATTAATTTCTAATCATTAAGCCTCTGTAACTTGATTTTGTATACTTTTGATAATTTGAATTCTGCACGTTCAAGCAGTCAAGGTTTATGAAAGCAAAAGTTCACAACGAGAAGTTGCATGTTATAAAGGAATTAAACACATTAGAGTTTGTGGCATCGAAACAAATTTTTAATCTTGTCAGATAAACTTAAACCAGGATGGAATTTAATAGATCTGAGAGTGATCCCTGAACTACCAACCGCCAGTTCAAATCTTTAATGACCGATGACGGTAGGGAGTTTAGCGACCTCAGCAATTAATTAAATTCGGTTCCTAGTCAAATAAACCTTAAACTCCAACATTACCCCTAAATTTTCATTAAAATCTGTAAAATTGTGTAAAATCAAACAAAGTTTTTTTTTACCATGAAACCGAATGGACCCATTGTGAAGATTGAATGCTGACACGACAAGATTCAAATCTTGAAATTGAGATGATTGAAGTAAAACAGAAATATTTACAAACAGAAAAGCTTGTCAAGATTCTGGTTTTAGTTCTACAGTTAGATTTTTAGGAAATGTAACAAAGGAAAGGCACACAAATCCGCCAATAAATCATCAGATATCAGCAACATTTTAGACACTGGTGAAGGGTCTGACCAAAAACCTAGAAAACCACAACAATTCTTCACTCTGGTTCAAAGTAATTAATATTTATAAAAAAAAACAGAGTGTTGCAGATGTAGAAAAAGCATGTAAAAAAGTTCAGCACATAAAATTCTAAAATATCAATTTTTTAAGGGTTAATATATATTAATATCGATCCTGATAAATCTACATATTTGAACAATTTTAGATCAAAAAGACTAATACATTTTGCACGACATTACTTTACTTTGTTAAATTTCCTAAAATTCATAATGCATTTAAAGAAATTTTCCCAAAATTAAATATGCGCGCGCGCATGTTACTATCAAGCAGCACAAAAAGAGAGTTTAAAAAATGGAATTATTGATCAGTAATTTACATAGGATACTATATTTTAAAATTGCATGCAATGTTTTCAATTTGATATCATGAAATTGTAAATCTTTTAAAAAGGTGAAACATATTTTGTAACACGATATTAAGAAATGTTGGGCTTTCATATAACGCGTGTTAATCATATTGTGGTAACAAGAAAACGGTGGAATAGCTGTCGTCTTATATCTTACTTTTGATTATGAAATATCGATTAGATATTTGTGACTAATCTATTTAAAACTGTAAATTCTGATATTCTGACCGGCCATAGACCTCCCTGGGTGTCAAGGGAGTTACCACAAAAATGTTCATATGTTCGCTTCAGCCGTTGAACGTTCATAAAAAGAAACAAAACTACAGACAGACAAGTTATACAATATATATTAATAATAGAAGAAAATAAAATAAATAAAAATGAAGAAATTAATTAAATTACTTACTATATATATGTCCGAGGAGTTGTTGCTGATAATGTCGATTTTTCTTTTAGAGAAAGAAGCATCTTTATCCGACCTAAAGAGAAGTTTATTAATAATTAATTGAAGGGTAATTAGCGAGTAATTAAGAAGTAATTAAAGGGTGATTAGGTTTGGGAAGTGTAATCTAATGACGGGTTCTTGCAATGAAATAAATAATAGAGTGCATTACTCTCTCAATTAAAGGGAGTGTAGAAGTAAATTCGTGAAAGGGAGTGTAGAAATAGTTTTATTAAAGGGACTGTGTAGACGTTCTTTTGTGTGCACTTAAATTTATAAAGTGGCATAACAATTCACAACCATTTAACCTTTGTATGGTCATGGAGGAGTGAGATTTCGTTGTTTTTATAGCTGAAAATTGATTATCTTTAATTGTGGTTTTATGCAGCAGAGACACTTTACAAGAAAGAAAAAAATCTTTCTCATTTTTAGTTTTAAATACAAATTTTAAGGTATTCGTTGTGAATCGAATATCCCAGTCTAGAAATGAAAGGTGTCCGTTGTGAATCGAATATCCCAGTCTAGAAATGAAAGGTGTCCGTTGTGAATCGAATATCCCAGTCTAGAAATAAAAGGTGTCCGTTGTGAATCGAATATCTCAGTCTAGAAATAAAAGGTGTCCGTTGTGAACCGAATATCCCAGTCTAGAAATGAAAGGTGTCCGTTGTGAATCGAATATCCCAGTCTAGAAATGAAAGATGTCCGTTGTGAATCGAATATCCCAGTCTAGAAATGAAAGCGGCCTCTTTTTGTTTATAGTTCTTGCTCTAAGTGTTTTCTTCATCCTTCAAATCTTTCGTTTAAAAATATGCGTTTTCGTAAATACCTTAACAATGTATTGTTAGACTTATGAAAGGCATTTGACAGAAGAATTTAATTAAATACAGATTTTGCACTTAAAATTTCTACAAATATATTTTCTGAACGCATTTGACAGATTTTTTCCTCATTTTTTCAAATTGTAAGTAGAAGTATCGGTTAATCTTCAGACAAGGAGAGATTAAGCTTTACTCATGAACCATCCATTGAAAAGTTCCAAGCTCAAATTCCGGATTTAGACTAGCTAGTATTGAGATAGAGCCAAATTTTGTGTAAGCAATATCGATCTACCATGAACATGTCACCATAATTTTATCAATTTTCATAAACTTGGACCCGGATATAGAAAGAACACAGTTCATTAATGAGAAAAAACGAAATGTCATATTTGAAAAACATCATTTTATTTATTCATCATGACATCATGATTCTAAAAATATGTTTAAATTATTCATTGATAAAATGAATACTTGCACATTTTAACAAATAAATATCTATTTGTTAAATAAATAAAATCCGAGTAAAGCCAGAAATAGAACAAAATATAATTACTTTTATTATTTGCATGGTGGTGGAGGTAAACTGTACATAACTGTCTACACTGTACACTCATGTTTACCTGTAGTACACCATGTAATAATCCACTTTTCCATAATACAGACGAGGTCTCCTCCATTCTAGCAGGATATCTCCTTTTCCTGTACATAAGAATATCATTTTATGTACAATACATATACTGTACAATAGATATAATAAATAGTGTACAGTAAATATATCTTATCATGTACATTCAATATACAATAAACATATAACATCATGTACATGACATGTAAAACGTACAACAAACACTATTTATTTTTTAAATTAATGCGTTTCAGTAAAATTGAGTTGTAAGTTCATGTTATACTTTATAGAGTTTCTTAATTGATTTAAGTTTCTTGTAAAGATGTAGTTCAACCACTTCTCGTTGAGCTCTTTCTTCGTGGTTCAACTGCTTCTCGTTATTCATCAAATCTGGTTTTATTCAGATTTCATATTTCTTGTGTAACATCTTACAAAAATACTATTTCGTAAGCACAGTTTGAGTACTGATATATGGACATCGTTTTCAGACATTTAGGGGTTTTTGACGTGTTTAGAAGAATTTAAGTCATTAATTTAATTGCAAAATTGTATTCTTGATAATATTGCTTTAATTACATAATGCGAATATTTTTCTTTAGTCCAAGATATTAAACAAGACGATTTTCTAATCGTTCTGAAAAATCCTCTTAGTTCTTTGGTCAGAATCAAAATATTGCATAATATGATAAAAGCAAACTTGTCTAGCAGGCGATTTTGAAATAGGATTCACATTGTGGAGCCTCTTAATATTATTTGATTATTTAAAACCGGGCCTTAAAGGGACTGTAAAGGCTGAAAGCTAATCACTTTAGCTCTTGATCGCGACCCATGAAAGTCTTATCGTGTCTCGAGAAATTGATATAAAACTGTATAAAAATTATACGAAAGTTCATATATGTAAAATTTAGAAAATCTTAAACTTAAATCACGTGACCAGAACTATTACCAATGGCAGAGCAGTATGCTGGTCACGTGTCTCCGCCTGTGTCACCTGACCACTTTACTGCACTGCCATTGGTGGAATTTCTGGTCAAGTAATACGACGTATAAATAATATTATGAATTAAATCTACTAAAAATAGAAATAACAAATATAAAATTAGAATTGGAGTAAACCTAAGGTACAATTAGCTTCCTCTGGGATATCATCGTTTTCAGATTGGTTGCTTATTTGCTGAATTTGATCTATTTCAACCCACTGCTTTTATACAAAATTGTATATATATTAATTTTCGTATAACTTTGACATGGTTGTATATCAATTTCTAGAGATAGGAACATCAGATATAACTTTCATGGGTCGCGATCGAGAGCTAAAGTGATTAGCTTTCAGCCTATACCCCCTTTCATTTTTCCTTTACAGTCCCTTTAAAATGATGGCAATGTACAAGAAATATATTATATATATATATGACAAATATTCTGTGTATTAGGATTAACATAAGATACATATGAATAAATGACAGAGAGGATTTAGCTCTGATCGATTATGAATAATCAATCTCTGGGTAGGGTCTAGGACCTTCTGACAGTTACAAAATGTTTTTCTTTAGTTTGTCCTAAGAGACTCTTGAACCCAGTCCAATGAAACTTTTACAGCTCAGGAGAATCAAAGAGATGGCTGAGGTCAGATTATAAAAGAAGATTGATTCTTATATGTTTTATCATTACTTTGCTTCTCCATCAAATGTAGGGCATTTGATTCCTGAATGATTAATTGATATGTATTTTATGTATTGTTTAAAGGGATTGTTAACAGTATTCTAAATGACCCTCCATTTACATGTTTAATTCATAACGGTAACCACTAACTTCGTCACTTTTTCTTTATAAAAAGTGTTGAATTTTGAAAATATCCTATGGTCTTTCTAGCTGAAAACTTTTGCAGAGAAATAACATACTTTTGAAAATAATCAAAATTTATTTTATCCTTGAAAATTCCTCTTCAGTCCATTTAAAGTCCTAGAGTGTAATGGATATAAATACCATGCCTAGAGTGTAATGGATAAAAATACCATGCCTAGAGTGTAATGGATATAAATACCATGCCTAGAGTGTAATGAATATAAATACCATGCCTAGAGTGTAATGGATATAAATACCATGCCTAGAGTGTAATGGATATAAATACCATGCTATAGAAGTCTCAATAACTCAAATGATAACATATTTTCACAAGTTTATTTATTCATATGTTACTCGTTTAACATACTAAGAATGACTAGTGTAAAATCCGAGATTGAACAAGTTTGCGAAATATCAGTGAAACTGTTTGCGCATTTATGCAAACTCAATTCTAATTTTAACATGTAAGACAAAATCATATTTTCTTATAACTAAAAGTCAGGCTTCTACAGTGCCTAGAGTGTAATGGATATAAATACCATTCATATAGAGTAATGAATATAAATACCATGCCTAGAGTGTAATGAATATAAATACCATGCCTAGAGTGTAATGAATATAAATACCATGCCTAGAGTGTAATGGATATAAATACCATGCCTAGAGTGTAATGAATATAAATACCATGCATATAAAGTAATGAATATAAATACCATGCCTAGAGTGTAATGGATATAAATACCATTCATATAGAGTAATGAATATAAATACCATGCCTAGAGTGTAATGAATATAAATACCATGCCTAGAGTGTAATGGATATAAATATACAATGCCTAGAGTGTATAATGGATAAAAATACCATGCCTAGAGTGTAATGGATATAAATACTATTTCTGGTTTGTCAAAACAAATCTGATTTAACAAAAAGTGTGTGTGCGGGGGGCCGGGGGGGGGCTAACAAAATGTAAATCATTCATACACTCCTAAAGTCTTTTTGCATATTTTAATCGTGTTTGATATATGATATAAAACTTTAAATATATGTCATGGATATCTCAATTCTATTTCTTTAGGTTAATAAATCAATTCTAAGAAACTCTGAAACTGGAATAAAGTTTTAGATTCAGCATGACAAGTGTGGACGAATAAAAATGTTTATATTTACTAACATATTTCTTTGTAAGCAGAAAAACATCTAAAAATACATTTTAGGATATAGTTATATGTGTATGAGGAAGTGGGGTATGTGTATGAGGATGTAGGTATGGGTGTGAGTGAAGTTGATGGTATGTGTGGGACCTGCCTTTACGTATGTTTGCTTTAGCCTGTTAAGCAGCATCTTTGTTAAAGTAAATCTCTACAGTGTACAGTATGTATGTATTATCATGTCTTTACGATGTGCAGTATATATGTACAAGTAAACCTGCACAGTGTTCATGTACATAAAGTTTAAACATTTACACTGCCCATTGTATACAGTATCCATGTATTATATTATACTTGTAAAGTTTAGTACTATAATGGTAGGTGGAGAGAGTTGTACAAGTCTACTAATAATAGTAATGGTTGGTGGAGAGGGTGGTCCAGTATGTACATTGTACAAGTATACCTGTACGGTTGGTGGAGGGGGTTGTACACTATGTACTAGTATACCTGTACAGTTTAGTACTGCAATTGTTGGTGGAGAGGATTGTACAATATTTACAAGTATACCTGTACAGTTCAGTACTGTAATGGTTGGTGGAAAGGGTTGTACACTATGTACAAGTATACCTGTACAGTTTAGTACTGCAATTGTTTGTGGAGAGGATTGTACAGTATGTACAAGTATACCGGCCTGTACAGTATAGTACTGTCATGGTTGGTGGAAAGGGATGAACAGTATCTATGTACTAGTATACCTGTACAGTTTAGTACTGTATTAGTTGGTGGGGAGGATTGTACAGTATTTACAAGTATACCTGTACAGTTTAGCACTGTAATCGTTGGTGGGGAGGATTTTACACTATGCACAAGTATACCTGTACAGTTTAGTACTGTAAAGGTTGGTGGGGAAGATTGTACTCTATGTACAAGTATACCTGTACAGTTTAGTACTGTAAAGGTTGGTGGGGAAGATTGTACTCTATGTACAAGTATACCTGTACAGTTTAGTACTGTAATGGTAGGTGGAGAGGGCTGGGCCGTATCTGTCTCAACTTCCAGTGGATTAGAATCCCCTCCTTCTCTTTTACTTGTAAATCCACGAATCTGAAGCTTGTATGAAGTCCTGGGTCCTAAACCAATTAATCGATTTATTTGAAAATCCACGTTTCTTCTTTCAACAATTTTATTTCTTTTGTTCTATAGTTCCAGCTAAATATATTCTATAGTTCCAGCTAAATATATTTTATAGTTCCAGCTAAATATATTCTATAGTTCCAGTTTAATATATTCTATAGTTCCAGCTTAATATATTCTATAGTTCCAGCTTAATATATTCTATAGTTCCAGCTAAATATAACCAAGATTAAATGGAAATATGTGCAGTAAAATATGAGAGAAATATAATATTAACCAAGAAAGAAAATTTGTTCCAGATATCTTTTTTTGAGGGCATTTTAGCAAATTGATTTTTTTCGGACAAATTAAGTTTGTGACTGTGAATAAATGTCAAATTAAGTTTGTGACTGTGAATAAATGTCAAATTAAGCAAAAGACAAATAAAGTAAAGTAAAGAAGACAACTTCCTAATTAGTTATTTCTTTCTAATAATAGGAAATCACGGAACCCAGCTTTATAACTTTTCTTTGATAAAAAAGACAAATATTTCTTTAATTTTCCTTAAAATATTTATCAAACAAATTTTCCAAGGGACTAAAGACATCATTTCAAACAATCCTTCATTTTCAGTTTAGCATGTCGGATTCTCAACTGTACTTTTAAACCGGCCTTATCCTTATGAGTGATTTTAAAAGAGACAATTCATGAATTTAACCATTTTAAAGACGATATTTCCTCACTAATAAAGGGAGAATTCGCGAAAATGAAAGGGGGTATAGGATTACAGCGAAAATTATAGATGGTGATCGCTACTAATCTTACTTCTACCTGTTGTGTCTATAAGGAGAAAATTGTTAAAAATGGCTCATACCGAAGAACGTAGCGTCCATGCAAATTCAGAATTTGGCCACATTCGACTCGGATCGTAAAACAATGAATTTAATTCCAAACAAATCATTCAAATATTACTACCTATAATCATCGATAATTTTTCCACGCATTCGTATATAGTTGATATTTCATAATATTTTTAATTTTTTTAATTTTTATGATCTATAAGAGTTACTTTTGAAAACATTTATTCCGGCTTTGAGGAATTTTGATAATGAAGACGACAATTTCATATTTTCCAGGAATGTTTGAAAATCCAGCTCCAGCCGTAAAAACAAGTTGTAAGCGAAATATCAATTTAAAAAAATCTAAAATATTATGAAATATATCAAATTTATACAAATGTGTTAAAAATTATCGATGATTAAAGGTTGTAATATCTGAATGATTTGTTAAGAATTAAAATGATTTTTTAAGATCCGAGTCGAATTTTGCAACTTACTGAATTTGTATGAGTCGTTTTTAACAATTTTCTCCTTAAAGTCGAAACAGATAGAAGTAAGATTAGTAGCAATTACGATCGATAATTTTTCGCCGTAAGCTTATACCCTTTTCATTTAGTGAACACTCACTTTAAGATTAAGGCTAAAAGGCTCATTAACCGGAACCGTTTTATTAAAGGACGTACAAGTTTAATTCTTAATACTTGACTGAAAATTATTTAAAGTAAGCTTTTTTAGGTTAAACCTCAGTGACAGGGGTATATATTTACTTGAAAATCATTTCCCATTAAAATAACTTTTTACCCGAGAAGTTAGGTATTTTTTTCAATTTATGCATATAAAGAGTTTATATGATTTTAGGGGAAAACAGATAAAATAATCCCATAAGGACCAAAAATCCTGCATTTTTATGACAAATTTAACCCCCCCCCCCCCCTAGAGCATCACAAATTAGACCTCTCCCGGGGGGAGGGGGGGTTGAGAATTTCTTATAAATATATCCCACTATTTAGCCATTGACTTACTAAGGTTAGAAACTGTAGCGTAGGTTGTATCTTTGCCGAGTATTGTTTGAGGTTCAATCATCTCACAGGTTCCTAGCTCCATACTGGGATCAGAACACATCATATCTCTGAACCAAACCACCATCTTAATCTTGGCAAGATGTATGTTTTACTTTTTATTTAATCTATACCAATAAAACTTTCTAATAGGAAGCACATTTGATGGCTTTATGTTCATTGAACTATTCAAAATCATTACTTTTATTACTTTTACAGTCCTCTTACTATTGAACAGTTGTACGGCTCCTTGTACAATGTACATGTTATGTACATGTTATGTTGTACAATGTACATGTTATGTGCCTTGTATGAATCCAATTAATGCTGCAAATAGGGTTTTGTGGGACCTCACATGACCCTGCATCCTAGTATGACTTATGGTTGCTTAATAGATCTTTAAGGTTTATTCAATTTTTTCTTCAAAAATATTTACAAAAAAATTACTTAAGAATTATTTAGGGCTGTTTTAAAAACTAATAAACATGAAGATTAATCTAAACCTTTTTATGAAAGAATAACAAAATTAAAACCATGAAAAATTAAGGTTTCTACTGTAAATAAAAAATGAAGAAGCATCCTCGCGATGTTAGCATGACTAGTCCTAATCTAAAAGTTTTTAGCAAATTAAACCTTAAAGTTGAGACATTTCCAGTTGTTTTCCAGGATTTCTAGGTGAAACTTTTTTTTTAATATCTGGAAATGTGAGTTAGAGTATAGTTCCATGCAACTAATGCATTTAATGCATCGCAACTTTAGATAAAAACAGAAGTACGACAAAATGAAAATTTTATCCTTTTGATATTTATCAACATTTAATTATTTAATTCACCAATGAAGGGCGTAATTAAAGTTTATTTCGAATTAAAAATAGCTAAAAATATTTGTGATCATTGACTTTTTTTGCAGTTGTTTGATTGCTTCAATGGCGTCACCAGAATTTATTTATTTATTTACAAGGTTACCCTTGAAACTTTAAAGATATGACGATACCAAGGTTTAATATGCTTCTTCCTCGAATGAAGTCATAAAATGGCTGATTTTTTATTTGAAAAATCCTTTTTCCTCTGATTTATGAAATACTTTATAAACGGATTGACAAAAGCATAAAATATTTCATCAAAATATTTTGAACATTCGCCTGAATGAACATTAATATTCTATAGATTTTTGAAAAATAGATTAGATACTTCTATATTTAAACAAATTGTTGAAAGATGTCTCAAAGTAATTGTTTAGATATTTAAAAACAACATATATTTGCTTATTACATGAATAAAAATATTAACGCGGAAGATTGACCTAAAGGAATGCGCGAGAATTTTTGCCTAACAATACTTCCAAGATGTGTACCGTGTTTTAGTTGCAATAAAACTCCGATAATCAATTCAGGAGAAATTTTATGATTTTATTTTTAAGATGTTGGTTCCTAATGTATATTCTGTATCCTAACAGTTCTTCCCCCAACAGTTCAACATTTTCTGGTTTCCTGCATTAAAATAACATTATCTTTAAATAAATATACTTTGATTGTCTTGGTGTTCGTCCGTCCGTTTGTGACCAATAATCGCCAAAATGACTGAGCCGATCGGGCTAACAGTTTTTGAAGCAACTCACATAAACCTAGGGAAGGTTAGTTTATCCTCGGAATTAAAAAAATTTATTTTCGTGAAATTTAAAAAATCCAAGAACAATTTTTAATAAATCCGCAAAATTTGATTGCTATTGTTTTATATTGAGAAAATACTCTCAACTAAAAGTTTAAATAGAAGGTGAGCGCGGATCGAAAAGAAAGCATAGTACATAATACATATTATGTACACAAATGTGTACAAATTGTACATTTATATTTCTTCATCTTCAAAATATTGTGATTCTATAGAGATCAAATGCGTGAATCTTATTACTCTAAATAAAATATTCTCGACAGGTGGAGACGGATTTCTACACTAGTTTAATCCATCCTAACTTTGTCAAGAGGGGGGAGGTTTCCACACAATCATCATTTGTTTTACATTACCGTGATAAGAACAAGGAATATATAAAAAAAGGAACCTACATGGCTGAAAACTTTAGACTTGGAAGAGGAGATCAAGCATTGATCTAGATATCCCAATTCTAAAGTTTTCATGGTTTCCAAAAACTGCAGTTCATTGTTGTATGTAAACAAAAATATGGGACCCTAGTGTTTCTTTTTTTAAAAGGAAAATACCAGCAATAATGCATCTTATTCCAAAGAAGAAAATGTTTGATTAAAATACTTTCGATGAAATTATATTTTGAATTGTATAATTCGTGGAAGGTGGAATTGTATTAAATAAAATAAAAGCACAGATTAAAAATGTATTTCATTATCTGTTTTTCTTGAGTTGCTTGCAATATATTATCAATTATTGATATTTTTCAATGGTATCACATCTCTTATTTCTAATTTCTAATTATAGATAGATTTTCATCCTGCTTTCGATATAAATATATTTTTACTTTAAGCTGTAACACAAACTATAGAACAATCTTATACGAAAGAAATTCCCACCGAGTACGAACATCTTTTACGATGTTAAGTACATTCCCACAAACCTTTTCCCAGGGGCAACTTCCCGAGTGACAATTTTTTAAGTTGCAATATCCCAAACGTGAAATTTCCCATGCGGAAATTTCAAAATGTCATTTTAGGTTAGGTTAGGCCTTCTGAGGCGCTCTGCAGGCTTCAATGGGGCGCCGAGCGCTGTGGCAAGGATGGGTTAGGGGACCGAATGCTGCAGCTATAACAAGGTAAGGTACCGAGTGCAGCAGCTACAACAGACTTGGGAAGTTGCCGCTTGGTAAATTGCACACTTGGGAAGTTGCCACTTGGTAAATTGCACATTTGGAAAGTTGCAACTTGGAAAAATACTCTTGAGAAGTTTCTGCTTTGGAAAATGCCTTCACATGAAAATGTGGACACACAATAATATAAAACTCAAATTTCATGTTTTGAAAATGAATGTTGGGATGTCACGGATAATTACGAGTTGGCGCACAATTATGTCACATGAGACGTATCTAAACATACATGTTGCAAACTTGAAACATTTCGTGATCTTTTAAAAAAATCTAGATAAAAGCAAAAAATCAAATAAACTTTTTTCAATTTTTTCCCATGGAAAGTAGTCATGAATGATACTAAATTATAAAGTTGATTTTACAAATGTTTTAAATGTCATGAGAAAATATTTTATTAGATTTAAAGCTTTAACATTCAGTTTGTGAAATTCGTATAGGGTTATATTTTTTTATTATTCAAACCTTCAAACATTGAATGTGAAGATATAAGATCTTTAAATTGGGCTGACCTGAAAAAGTTGGCCCATGAACAAAGCCAAAAGGGGGGGGGGCTTTTGTTATCCCAGGCTTTGTAGGGTTAAAAATGTAAATTCTAAAATATATTTTGTATATCTATTTACAATTGTTAAGATTCCCTGACTCTAATGGTTCGAATCATGAATTCAAATCAAGGTTTTCCAGTAAAAACATATTGGCTGGTATTGCTGGAAACATGAATTGGAATTCAATCCAAGATGTTTACATATAGCTAAAGGAATTAATCCATGGTGCTTCGTGCCAAAGATCAGTATTCTAGTCACCTGTGCAGAAACCCCAACACGTTCGTTGATGTGATGTACCATAACGTTATTCGGTTTTTTTTTTAACTTTAAAAACTGTATTCTGTTCAAGTTTGCTTTTCCTGTACTTAGCAATGTTTTTTCATTCTCAGAAAATACAGTGAACCCCTTAATAACGAATACATCGAAAAAATTCATCAAATGTCGTATTCTCACTTTCTGATAATGGAATGTTGCAGATATTTAGTTTTTTAATCAAATGATTATATGGAGATCTTTAAAACTGTTCTTGCATATTCATGGGCTATTTATTTATTTTCGCAAATACTGAAATTTACGTAATATAGTATAAAACACATTAAAAAATTGTCAAGACGACATTTGATAAATTCTTCCGATGTATTCGTTATTAAGGTTTCACTGTATAAAGGAAAAACTAACCAAAAAACCCAATCTTTTTAGATTGATGAACAGTTTTGAAATTTGTGAAAATTCTCAGATTTTTGTAAAACCTTTTAAAAGTCACAAAAACCTCAAAAACGACAATCCAAGTTATTTCCAATCACTGGTCTTACGTAGAATGGATTGACATTTTCAAGTCGATTTTTGAATAAACTTGACTTTTTTATTGAAAAAAAAAACATTTTTCTTTGAGCTGAAAATTAGTAAAATAAAGAAATAAACAACGCATTGTAGACGATGCATAATATACAATGTACGTTCGATGAAACCTTATAATTTAATATTCAATCTTTTTCATGAATATAGGTATTTAATTTGGCAGATATTGGAATAAAAATATGATGCTAAAAGCCAGGACTGGCAGGGGACTTTACTTTATAAACTTTTATCATTTCTATAAGTTTTACTTATTTAAGTTAATGGATTAATTATTAGGTTACTTTCCATTAATATTAATGAATGTCGAACTTAAAAACTTTTTGTTGTTTCTTAATTTTTTTATAAATGCAAAATTATAGGCCGAATTGCTATTGTAAGTCTCTCAGAAGAACTGAACATTCTGATTTTCTGATCCCCATATCTTTGCAACCTTATGTATCTGCTTCAAACATTTAGGGATAAAAATATTAGAGGTTGAGGTTTCAGGTTTTTTTTCAAATTCCTAATAATTGCAATAATATGTTTTTAATTGAAGATGATAGTTTTCAAGTTAGAAATCTAGTTATGGAACCGTGGTGCATGGAAAGGGTAGATTTATAAAGTTGCATTAAGTTGAAGATTAGGTACAGAAATATTATATATTATACTTATATATCCATAGTTTAATTATAACTTCATCTTGTTACATTCATATCAACTTTATCCCACTACCCTCTATTCTAAAACCTCAAGTATTTATCCTCCATTATCACCTGCTACTTTTGATACCCACTGCTACCTCCATTATCTCCTAAAACATATATCATCCTACCACCAATATCTCCTCCTACCTCCAGTATCTCTTCCTACATACAATATACCTTCCAAACTTCAATATATACCTCCTACCTCCAATTTACCCTCCTACCTTCGATATACCCCTTACCTCTGTTATCTCCTCCTACCTCCACTATACACTCCTACATCTAATACCCCCTCATGTACCTGTTATCCCCTCCTATATACCCATATATGTTCCTGTCTCCATTTAAACCTCTTACAATTTGTTATAAGAATTATACAAATAATTTTAATTGCTATTTAATTCATTTTCAAGCATACTTGTAACATTCCTTGATTAAACAATCATTTTTAAATTATTATCAAACTATTCTTACCTCCATTTAATCTTTACTGAGTTAGAATCCACCTGAAGTAGTTGGACACCTCGTGGCTTTAATGGAACTAGGATAGAAATAATTTAAAGGGACAGTTGATGTAACATTGAGAAGACTGTAAACGTAATTTCAAGTGACCCACCTTGGCAAAATCCGATTCACAACGGTACCCTTGAAACCTTTATCTAACAATAATGTAAAAAGTACAGTTAGAAAAATAAATAGCTTTCAAAATTATGAACTTTGATATCTGATTCATACTTGATCTGGCAAAGCTTTCATGGTACCGTAGTGAATCTGGCATCGTCATCTTTGCATGGTGGGTCACCTGAACTTACGCTCCCAGTCACTTAAAGAAGTCGCATGCTGGTATCACAACAATAAATAAGATATCATGGTTTCTCTAGAAAAGTGTGATGCTGATTTTGCAAAGAAGGGAATTAAAAGAATTCCAAACCTTTTAAGAGAGAAAACGATCATATTTCTGATTGTTACAGTTCTTTAAAATTCATAATATCTTCTGTTTTGAGTATTACGATATCCTTTGGTCCAGTTCCTTCTAAATTTCGGGCAGCCAGGGTGATTTCATAGGTTGTATGTTGCATCAACCCACTTAGAGAATAGTTCTAAAATATCATCATTTAAACTGCATCAACCCACTTAGAGAATAGTTCTAAAATATCATCATTTAAACTGCATCAACCCACTTAGAGAATAGTTCTAACAAATCATCATTTAAATTGCATTAACCCACTCAGAGAATAGTTCTAAAATATCATCATTTATAATGCATCATCCCACTTGGAGAAAAATCTAAAATATCATAATTTATATTGCATCATCTCATCCATCACAAAGATAGCATTAATCTAGTTGATGAGTGAATCGTTGAAACTGCATCATGCCTTTTTCATAACTTTTTTTACTGAATTTGCAAAAAAAATTCTGCGCTTGCAATTTTCTTTTTATTGCAGCAAATTTTGTTAGGAAATATTCTTTATAAATTCTTAAATGAAAAACAAAGTAGAAAATAATTGATTTATCAGAGGAACGTGGTAAAATGAGTTTGATATAAGAGGAAAAATGAGAGCCAGCCCAGAATGTATAATTGTAAATGTACTACCTCTGAATGTACAATTGTAAATGTACTACCTCTAAATGTACAATTGTAAATGTACTACCTCTAAATGTACAATTGTAAATGTACTACCTCTAAATGTATTTTAATTAAATTCCCAACTTTAATTTCCAGGATTATACTTTCCAAACCAAATACTGCAGCTTGGGGGAATGAGTTGAAAAATTTCAACATTTCAAGTTTCATCGTAAATAATAATTAAACAATTCATTTTAAACTTTAAAATTATAATTTTAAGAACAATAACATTTGCTAAATATCCGTTACAATGAATTAAAGAATTATATTTATTAACTAATTAAGAATTAAAGAAGCAACTTTTTATTTAATTGATTAAATTAGTTCGCCAATACAGAGCTGTACACTTTTGATGAATTGCCGAACATCCCCCCAAGGTGTTTCTTCTTTTTACTTGAACGGAAGGGATTTTTTATGAGATTTACACATTTTCATTTTACAGTTTCCCTTAAACCCTGTTCAAAACAAAGTCCGAAAGTAAATAAATAAAACTTAAAACTTTCCTCATAAAAATGTATCATCAAGTTTTATTAATTTGTTTAAGGTCACCTCTTTACAATCAAAACAATCCTTGTTTAAATCATTTTTACAATTATAAACTCAATATTCAAAATTTTTATAAATATGTTTTTTTTAGGTTTCAATTGTTCAACAATGTAATAGTTAAAGAGACTGTAAGCATAATTTCAAGTGACACTCCATGCAAAGATGCTAATGCCCTATTAAAAGCCTTGTTTGATCAGAAGAAAAAAGAAAAACATCTTCCACATTATTAATCAGCTGATAAAGGTTTCAAGAGTACCGTTGTGAATCAGACATTGCCATCTTTGCATGAAGACCACTTGAAATTACGCTCACATTCCCTTTAATTTATTACAGAGTTGGAAAAAATCCTAATTTGTTCGTATTATTAAATTACTAAAAGCAATTCGAAAGCACACTCAACAAATGTACATTTGAATCTCAGCCGACCTTTACGGTCCTAGTTTGTACTGCCACGCCCGGTACACCGACTGCACTGGCAGACATACGGCAGGGGTCAATATAGATAGTCTAGCTCTTCAGACAGGACTAGCTGGTGCAATCAGGTTGACAAAGCCCGACTTTAGGCTGCATCGGGTTAAATGTTCAATCAATCAATCAATTTTGCATGAAAGAGGCAGGAAAATCTTACTAAATTAAATGTTCGTGATATCTATTAACAGATTTGTAATTTTGGAATAATTTCAGTAAGTTCGCTACTCTGAACAAAATTTTAAGGATGGTTACCTGGATTTTAAGTGACTCGTCGGTAACAATAAGTTTTGTAGTATCATGAGAATCAGTTGGTCTGTAGGTCATGACGTAGCCCATAAACTCCCCGTTTATAGAGGATAGGGTGGGTGGGGTCCAGTACAGTTCGAACCCTTGGCTTAAACAGATTATCTTGTCTCTGAGGAATACAGGCTTACCAGCAGGCTCTAGATAGATAGATAGAGTTATATAGATAGACAGATAGAGATATAAAGATAGATAGATAAATAGACAGATAGATAGATAATTTGATTGCCACAAACTCAAAATTTCAAATACCTTTATCTTTGCAACCTGATTATGTAAACCTCTTGTATATTTAAACATAGATAATTTGATCTTACAGAATTCATAGTTGAAATATCAAAGGTCTATGATGACGATGGTCTGCAAAGACTTTAAGAATAAGATATTTGTATTTGTATTTTGTATTGTATTATATTTTGCAAAAACTCGTCTTCTTTGCAGTACACGGAGATAGTGATAATATATAGATAGTAATAAAAACAAATAAAAATGGTTGTCTGCAGAAAATATCCTAAAAACAGATAAATTTATTACTATTACTTTAGAAAAGAAAATGTGGAGTACGTTTTTTTCAGGTCTAAATGCATTTTGAATTATTAAAAAATGTTTTCAATTATGTTTCTGATGGTCCATTAATAATATGGTATTCTCATCAACATTATATTTTATAAAATCAAATTTTAAAAATTCTATTAGAGCAGATCTAAACAAAAAACATCTTAGACTTTTTTGAACTTGATCTCCTCTTTTTGTTATTCTGAAGAATAATCCAATCTTTATTTTATATCAAGGAAAGTGTCGGAAATTATATTTGTAAAAACCAAACAGTCAAATAGATGTTTAAATAATGAGATAACTCTCGTTGGTCGGATCCAGCGGAGATTTTCAAAAAGAAAGAATTAAAGGGAGTGACCGGCTATATAAGGTAGTTGAACTTAGTATGCAGTGTTGTGGAAAACTTCTTTCGGATTCATTTGAGATTTATTAAACTTTTTTAAGATCTGTAAATCCTGAGTTTGAGCGAAAATTCAACGTTCAAAACTCTTACTTTGGGGGTGGATACGTTTTCAGAATTAGTTTTTTTTTAAGTTCTACAATAAACTACAGACGTCATGTAAGGAACATGTTGAGAAAATAAAAATTAATCTTATCATCGAAAATAAGTAATCTTGTTCAATTATTAGTTTCTATTTTCTCATTATTCTGGTTTCTTGTTATTCACACAGATTTTCTGCAGATTTTCTAGGATTATTATTGAAAAGACGACATTTAAAGAATTTAAAGAAATCAGCGTATAAATTCAAAGAAAATCAGAAATTCAATATAATAATGAAAACAAAATAATCGATTTTAGCATTAATTTACAAATTTCTTTTGAGAAATAGGTTCCTAACCATCTAATTAGATTACTGTATTATTTTTACTTTATTTTTCGTTGTTGTTATTTGATAATTAAAAAAAACTTATTCTGAAAACGTATCCACCCCCAAAGTAGGAGTTTTGAACGTCGAATTTGCGCTCAAACTCAGAATTTACAGATATTTAAAAGTTTAATATGTCTCAATTATGAATCCAAAAGAAGTTACCACAACACTGAATACTCAGTTCAACTACCTTACATAGCCGGTCACTCCCTTTAAGCAGAAAATCAAAAGTGTCCACAGAAAGAGATTAATTTGTTTTATGCTCTTGATTTCTAGTTGAAAGGTAGAAATCTAAAATGGTATCTATCCTAACCAAACATATTTGATATCTTTGAGACATATAATTAAATTAGTTCTCTTTAAAACTTAGTTTAGTTTAGTTTAGTTTAGTTTAGTTTAGTTTAGTTTAGTTTAGTTTGGCTTAGTTTAGTTTAGTTTCGATAAGATTAGTTTAGTTAAGTTTAGTTTAGATTAGATTAGATTAGTTTAGTTTAGTTTAGTTTAGTTTAGTTTAGTTTAGTTTAGTTTAGTTTAGTTTAGTTTAGTTTAGATTAGATTAGTTTAGTCTAGTCTAGTCTAGTCTAGTTTATTCTAGTCTAGTCTAGTCTAGTCTAATCTTGTCTAGTTTAGTCTAGTCTAGTCTAGTCTAGTCTAGTCTAGTCTAGTCTAATCTAGTCTAGTCTAGTCTAGTCTAGTCTAGTCTAGTCTAGTCTAGTCTAGTCTAGTCTAGTCTAGTCTAGTCTAGTAAAGTCTTTTCTAGTCTAGTCTAGTCTAGTCTAGTTAAGTCTATTCTAGTCTAGTCTAGTCTTGTCTAGTCTAGTCTAGTCTAGTCTAGTCTAGTCTAGTCTAGTCTAGTCTAGTCTAGTCTAGTCTAGTTTAGTCTAGTCTAGTCTAGCCTAGTCTAGTTAAGTCTTGTCTAGTCTAGTTAAGTCTAGTCTAGTCTAGTCTATTCTAGTCTAGTCTAGTTTAGTCTAGTCTAGTCTAGTCTAGTCTAGTCTAGTCTAGTTTAGTCTAGTCTAGTCTAGTCTATTCTAGTCTAGTCTAGTCTAGTCTAGTCTAGTCTAGTCTAGTCTAGTCTAGTCTAGTTTAGTCTAGTCTAGTCTAGTTTAGTCTAATCTAGTCTAGTAAGGTCCAGTCTTGTCTAGTTTAGTCTAGTCTACTCTAGTTTAGTCAAGTCTAGTCTAGTCTAGTCTAATCTAGTCTAGTCTAGTCTAGTCTAATCTAGTCTAGTTTAGTCTAATTTAGTCTAGTTTAGCCTAGTCTAGTCTAGTCTAGTTTAGTCTAGTCTAGTCTAGTTTAGTCTAGTTTAGTCTAATCTAGTCTAGTTTAGTCTAGTCTAGTCTAGTATAATCTAGTCTAATCTAGTCTAGTAAAGTCCAGTCTAGTCTAGTTTAGTCTAGTCTAGTAAAGTCCAGTCTAGTCTAGTTTAGTTTAATCTAGTCTAGTTTAGACTTGTCTAGTCTAGTCTAGTTTAGTTTAGTCTAGTCTAGTCTAGTCTAGTCTAGTCTAGTCTAGTCTAGTCTAGTCTAGTCTAGTCTAGTCTAGTCTAGTTTAGTCTAGTCTAGTCTAGTCTAGTCTAATCTAGTCTGGTTTAGTCTAGTTTAGACTAGTCTAGTCTAGTCTAGTCTAATCTAGTCTAGTCTAATCTAGTCTAGTAAAGTCTAGTCTAGTCTAGTAAAGTCTAGTCTAGTCTAGTTTAGTCTAGTCTAGTCTAGTCTAGTCTAATCTAGTCTAGTTTAGTCTAGTCTAGTCTAGTTTAGTCTAATCTAGTCTAGTAAAGTCTAATCTAGTCTAGTCTAGTAAAGTCTAGTCTAGTCTAGTTTAGTCTAGTCTAGTCTAGTTTAGTCTAATTTAGTCTAGTCTAGCCTAGTTTAGTCTAGTCTAGTCTAATTTAGTCTAGTCTAGTTTAGTCTAATCTAGTCTAGTCTAGTCTATAAATCTAGAAGCCCGTACCAATTTGTAGAGAAAAAAGCTTTTAAAGTAATTGTTTCATATGGATAAAATTTCTAAAATTGAATGAAAGGTTTTGTAAAAAATATATTTATAAAGTCCTGTGGGTCTTGAACAATTATTCTGTATGTATTATGGGAGAAGAATACATTAGTTTTTGGTAAATTGGTAATAAAATATATAATTTATTAGTTTCTCATGGGGAGGGGGGTAAATACATCATTAGCCTCTATTAAACAATACTTGGTTATAACTTTATAATAGTCTGAGGAACGAATAAACATAAAAGGAACGGTAGAAAATAAAAACGGTATAATTACACAGGATAAACTAAATTATTTCAGTTTAGTCAGACATGTTTTAAATTAATTTTAATGTAATATATGTTTTTATTACAGCGTAAAGAAATCAGGGACGACACTTGCAATTATATTGTTTTAATGGCAATTAGGCTACTTAATTAACATTTAAAGATTGAGATTTAAATAATTGAATTATTTAAATATTTATAACTCGGATTTTAATGAAATCTGAACAGTTTTGTTTAAATATTTAAACTCTCTCTCAACCATGGCTTTAACATTTAATCTAATCTTGTTAAAGTGTTTAATACTTGTTCAAATAGGAAAATATGCCTTAAAGGGACTGTCAACGTAATTTCACGTGAACCTAATTTAAAGGGACTGTCAACGTAATTTCACGTGAACCTAGTTTAAAGGGACTGTCAACGTAATTTCACGTGAACCTAGTTTAAAGGGACTGTCAACGTAATTTCACGTGAACCTAGTTTAAAGGGACTGTCAACGTAATTTCACGTGAACCTAGTTTAAAGGGACTGTCAACGTAATTTCACGTGAACCTAGTTTAAAGAGACTGTCAACTTAATTTCATGTGAACCTAGTTTAAAGGGACTGTCAACGTAATTTCATGTGAACCTAGTTTAAAGGGACTGTCAACGTAATTTCACGTGAACCTAATTTAAAGGGACTGTCAACGTAATTTCACGTGAACCTAGTTCAAAGAGACTGTCAACTTAATTTCATGTGAACCTAGTTGAAAGAGACTATCAACGTAATTTCATGTGAACCTAGTTTAAAGGGACTGTCAACGTAATTTCATGTGAACCTTGTTTAAAGGGACTGTCAACGTAATTTCATGTGAACCTAGTTTAAAGAGTTACATGTCTGATTCACAATGCTGCCCTTCAAACCTTTATCTGAGTAACAATAAGGAAAATATCGTTGTTATGCTACCTTGAGAAGAAGTAAATTTTGTCCCATAAAACTCTAGAGTAGAAAGTCAACTTTTAGATTCAAGTTATGACTTTAATTAGTCCAATGAACATGAGGCACAGCAATTGTGCAGTGTAAACAGGCCCATTTCACTTAATTAGTGAATTAACGAAGTGTAACAAGTATCAAATACACTTCAGTATTGAATTATGTCGTCTTTATATTCTACAGTTTTCTGCTTATCACTCTATAAACTTCAATTATTGAGTTAATACAGAACCACCAGGAAAACATTCTTTAATTCTTTGTTAGATAATGTAAACAAATCTTATTTGAAATATATTTAATATCCAATTTCTGAATAGATTTTCAACCCGTCAAAGACCTGTCACCACGGGAACGCGGTCTCTAGAGTTTGTTATTCCAGATTAATGTGATCACACGGGTTAGAACCAGACGTTCAACAAGTTTAGAGAAGATGCTTATAGCTCAGGCGAATCTTTAACAGTCGTGGATCAACATTTTTCATATTTGTGTATAAAATGAAAACCAAAAGACCTAAGTGGAAACATAAGTCGTATCAGTATTGACGCTTCATTTCACCTTTTCCTCCTGTCTACATAGTTCACAGTAATTGAGACTTAAAGAAATAAAAAAGATCAGGAATATTTGTAGCTGTTACAATTACAAGATTTTTCTTAAACATCTCATTTCGGTAAGGAGCATCGCAACTTGCATTACAAACCTTTTGAGGTTTTTAGTAATATTTTTGAATTAAAACGCGTGTTTAAATTTTATTATTTACTGGAATTATAAAAAATGTTTTTATCCAACTTAGCAAATATTTAATGGCTTTAAATGTGTGTTTTTATTATTATTCGTCTTCAACTGAATTATCAGAATTAGATTTAAAAATTTACGTATTTTGTGACCCATGGTTTTAGAAGATAAAAATGTTTTCTAAGTGTGTCCAGTTTTCCAGGAGATGAAGTTTCTCTAAATATTATTTGTTAAAAGGTTTTCTTTAAAACCCTGGATATTATTTCATCCTTCCTATTTCCCAACCCAGTGTGTTTCAAAAATGTCGCCGGAATCAGAAAGCCTAGCAATTATTTTTTACATGCAATGAATTGCTTGAAAAATTCAGAGCGCGTCATATCGTATCTCATTTCACGGGATTAAAAATCACTTTTTTCATTTTTGAATAGGGTTTATATTCGCAAAAGCTTTTTATTCTGTGCCAGAAAATTTGCTAAATTTTGTTACAAATTGTCTAAAAAATACGTTTGCATGTTAATCATCAAAAAACTAGCTTTTAAGAAATATTATAAATATAATATAAACAAGCGGTAAAGTATTTAGCGCAACTATTTGCACAATTTGGTTTATTTCTCTGATATTTATAACAAAGCTCGAAAGTTATAAATACTTGCATGTCTGTTTTTCAGGGTGTTTGTGTTCAATAAAAGTCATAACGGCTAAACCGATCGGGTCCTAATTTTGTGTGGGACCTTACATGACCCTAGGGAGGTTTATGAATGATCAACATTTCAAAAATTATCCTCCAACAAAATTCGATTTTCATTCAATTTTGAAAACCCACGATTTAAAAAAAAAATTCGCGAACTTTTGTTTGTATGTTTAACAAAGAGAAAATGTTCACAATTAAAAGCCTATTGTATGTATTTTCGTATACATATGTATATTCATATGACAGCTATTGCTGTCTTTTTAAATATTTGAACTTAACTGTACATAATTTAAGATACATCTTAAACTGGTATCTTGCTTATTGTTCATCAAAAATTGCATTAAAATTAGAAGAAACATCTTTAGTCAATGAATTATTAAAGTAAAAGGCCGGAATAATATAAAGATTAATATATTTCACAAATTGAAATTCATAAAATTAAAAGTTCAGCAAAAATATATTTTTACTTTCAAAATATCAAAGTATCTATGTTATTCAATATATATTAATTATGACGACATGGATTTGACAAGTGTTTTTGAAAAAATGAGTCTTTGTCACAAACTCAAATTTTCAAATCCTTATATCTTTGCATCATGCAATATTGTAACTTGTAAATACAGCTTTACCATCAAAGGATGAGACTTAATCTCTTTGAATATGATGATCAAGTTAAACCTGAACTAAATCTACAAATAAAAAGACTTTTATCCTCAAAACTAGTCTTATCATTTAAGAAAAAGTGTTTAGTAAAGTAAAACCTCCCCCAAACTATAATCTATATGATTTTTCAAAAACTATATTCAACAAACTGAAACCTCCTCTGAAACAGATTATTATTATTGAGCTGAAATTTCCTTCACATTATTGGAAAAACTTACTTTCTCTGTGTGTCATTGTTTGAAAGGATTCCTTCGAAAGAGCAGAAAACCCGATCTGATTCTGTCCTGATACCCTGAAAATCATGATCATGATTATTCTGTCCTGATAGTGTGATATATCATGATTATTCTGCCCTTATACCCTGAAATATCTTTTTTATTCCTTCCTAGTAGTCTGAAATATCATAATTATTCTGTCCTGATACCCTGAATTATCATGTTTATTCTGCCCTTATACCCTGAATTATCATGTTTATTCTGTCCTGATACCCTGAAATATCATGATTATTCTGTCCTGATACCCTGAAATATCATGATTATTCTGTCCTTATACCCTGAAATATCATGATCATTATTATTCTGTCATAATAATGATTATTTTGATGATAATGATTATAATGATACTTTTAAATATCATGATCATGCTAAGCATCAAGATCATGAAATTTCATAAGGTTGTCATTGTCTGATATTCAAAGAAAGTGGAAACGTAACATTTTGTTTTATTTTCTGAAATTTTTTCTAACAGCATTAATTCTTAAACTCTCATTGCGACACTGCGATAATATAATTTAATAACATTAATAAAAAGTTTTCCTTCATCAGAGCACTTTAGTCGTCCTAACTGTTTATAACATTCTTTTATTTAAACCCTATTTATCACTTCAATCGAATAAACTTTGCAAAATAAAACAAAATGTATTTCTTGACATTGTTGTCATGTTTTTTTTTAAAATATACTCCAATATAGATGGTAAAGGTGTATATAACCTAAAGGTGTAAGTAGTAAAGGGTATATAACCTGAAGGTGTAAGTAGTAAAGGTGTATATTACCTGAAGGTGTAAGTAGTAAAGGTGTATATAAACCTGAAGGTGTAAGTAGTAAAGGTGTATATAACCTAAAGGTGTAAGTAGTAAAGGTGTATATTACCTGAAGGTGTAAGTAGTAAAGGTGTATATAACCTGAAGGTGTAAGTAGTAAAGGTGTATATAACCTGAAGGTGTAAGTAGTAAAGGTGTATATTACCTGAAGGTGTAAGTAGTAAAGGTGTATATAACCTGAAGGTGTAAGTAGTAAAGGTGTATATTACCTGAAGGTGTAAGTAGTAAAGGTGTATATAACCTGAAGGTGTAAGTAGTAAAGGATATATAACCTGAAGGTGTAAGTAGTAAAGGTGTATATAATCTGAAGGTGTAAGTAGTAAAGGTGTATATTACCTGAAGGTGTAAGTAGTAAAGGTGTATATAACCTGAAGGTGTAAGTAGTAAAGGTGTATATAACCTGAAGGTGTAAGTAGTAAAGGTGTATATAACCTGAAGGTGTAAGTAGTAAAGGGTTTAAGATCAGGAATCAGGAACTCCGTTGTGTTGGAATTTGTGTCAATAGATTTAGTCCAGTTGTCTCGTCTCTCCCTGATAAATATTTGATATTTAGTTTAGTTTTCAATACAAGATTTAGTTCAATTGTTCAACATAAGATTTAGTTCAATTGTTCAATACAAGATTAAGTTCAGGTGTTCATTCAAGATTTATTTCAGTTGTTCAATACAAGATTTATTTCACTTGTTCAATCAAGATTTAGTTCAGTTGTTCACTACAAGATCTAGTTAAGTTGTTCAATTCAAGATTTAGTTCAGTTGTACATCACAAGATTTATTTTGGTTGTTCAATAAAAGATTTAGTTAATTTGTTCAATACAAGATTTAGTTCAGTTGTTCAATACAAGATTTAGTTTAGTAGTTCAATACGAGACTTAGTCCAGATGTACAATACAAGATTTATTTCGGTTGTTCAATACAATATTTAGTTCAGTTGTTCAATTCAAGATTAAGTACAGGTGTTCATTCAAGATTTATTTCAGTTGTTCAATACAAGATGTATTTCAGTTGTTCAATAAAGTTTAGTTCAGTTGTTCAATACAAGATTTATTTTAGTTGTTCAATTCAAGATTTAGATCAGTTGTTCAATACAATATTTAGTCCAGTTGTTCAATACAAGATTTATTTTAGTTGTTCAATACAAGATTTAGACCAGTTGTTCAATACAAGATTTATTTCACTTTTGCAATACCAAATTTTATTAAGATTTTAGTCCTGTTGTTAAATACAAGATAGTCAAATTGTTCTGTCTAGTTTAACTTCTCAAGCTTAAATAAATAAAGTCTTGTAAACTTAATTTCAAAGTGAAAGGCATCAAGTTAAAGAAAGAGTTTCCAAGAAAAAAATATCTCAATCTGAATGTTGGCGCCTCTCTTCTCCATGCAAATGAAGTCAGTTTGAAAACTTTGAAGGAAAAAGTGTAATTTAGTTTAAAGCAGGCAGCTACAACAGCTGATGTGATTTAATTAATTAATTCGTAGAGTGAGATGAAACCAAGATTAATTAAAATTACATTGCACGATACAGAGTGCATCTTCAAGAGGAACGGATTTAAAATCAAACATATAAAATGGAAAATGATGAAATTATATTTTTATCATTATATTTTAAAACTATTTAACACAGCTGAGAATGGGATAATGCTCTGAAAGTTCCTAAATTTTAAAAGAAGATCTAACGTGCAAAGGGAGCATTTTTTAAGTAAAATTTTTAAAATCGATATTGAAAGATTCTAGAAATTAAATAAATTTTTGAATTTCCAAATCGTTAAGTTTGTTAACGATTTAAAACATAAGAAAACTAAAAACGGGTAAAATAAATTCTAAGAGAAGAAGGGAGCCCCTGAACCCCCCCCCCCTGTAACCATCTCCAACTCTGTAAATTGAATTCTAATTGCTGAACCTTCCAATAAATTTCCAAACTGTTAAAATCAAATAAAAATCAATGGATCCCAGGGAAACCTAGTATTTCGGCTTTATCTGCATTTCTGAAAAATTGACGCAGCAAACTCAGAAGAATAAACATTTGAATTTGAAACAATTTTAAAGTTTATATTTATTAGAAATAAATAACTCCAAGTGTCCCTCCCTGGTATTAGCTGGCAATAATTATTGAAATTCTTTGATACAATTTAAAGGATGCTATTGTTCTACGGACGTAAAGGACGCACAACATTCATACATAACAGTAATGCATAGTAATATCATAGTACATACAGTTAAATCCTAAATAAGTCATACTTCGAAAGAATTCATCAAATGTCGTATTCTTCACTTTCTGATAATGGAATGTTGCAGATATTTAGTTTTTTATACGGCTATGTAAGGTAGTTGAATTGAGTATGCAGTGTTGTGGAAAACTTCTTTCAGATTCATTTGAGACATATTGAACCTTTTAAAGATCTGTAAATTCTGAGTTTGAGCGCAAATTCGACGTTCAAAACTCCTACTATGGGGGTGGATACGTTTTCGGAATTAGTTTTTTTAAAATTATTAAATAACGACAACGAAAAATAAAGTAAAAATTATACAGTAATCTAATTAGATGGTTTGGAACATATTTCCCAAAGAAATTTGTCAATAAATCAATGCTAAAATCGATTATTTCATTTTCATTATTATATTGAATTTCTTATCTTCTTTGAATTTATTCGCAGATTTCTTCAAATTCTTCAAATGTCGTCTTTTCAATAATAATTCTAGAAAACCTGCGAAAATCTTTGTGAATAATGAGAAACCAGAATAATGAGAAAATAGAAACTTATAACTGAAAAAGATTACTTATTTTCGATGATAAGATTGATTTTTATTTTCTCAACATGTTCCAATACATGTCGTCTGTAGTTTACCGTAGAACTTTTTTTACATTTTATGTCGTCGTTATTTAATAATTTAAAAACTAATTTTAAAGAAGTTTTTCACAACACTGCATACTCAATTCAACTACCTTACATAGCCGGTCATTCCCTTTAATTAAATGATTATATGGAGCTATTATTCATGGTTATTATTTATTTTCGCAAATACTGAGATTTACATAAAATAGTATAAAACCCATTGAAAAATTGTCAAGACGACATTTGATAAATTCTTTCGATGTATGGCTCATTTTTGGTTGAACTGTACAGAGCGTCCCGTATCATATTAGATCATCTCCAATCTTTAACGCCAAAATACGCACATATTACTCGAAAAATCTAGCATTCTCTGCAAAAAAAAAATTTCTATCAGTCTTATCAAATTTTTCAAAATGATTCATCGTACTTGTATTTTCTGATTTGTCCCCCAACTTGTATTTTAGACCCATTGACACGGTCTAATTTGATGTGGGACACCCTGTAGTTCATACATAATACATAGTAAATACATAATACAACAGTACATACATAATACAACAGTACATACATAATACCATAGTACATACATAATACAACAGTACATACATAACAGATAATGGATAACACATAGTGCACAAATAATGCATACATCGAATCTTTATATAATATATAATCCATAGTTTCAAATTTTTATCAATAATGTGTAATACAATTCTTTAAACATTTAGTTTTATTGTTTAAAGTTTTAATATTTTTTAAACTAAAATTGTTAAAATTGTTGTGTATCTTTAGATATAAATTAGTAATCTCTCTTTGTTTGTTTGTTTGTCCGATCAATAAGTCATAAACGCTGGACCGATTTGCTTCAAATTTGATTTGGGAACTTGGGTGAACCACGGAAATGCTCTTAGCTTGGTTTTGAGATTCTAAAATGAGTGGGTTGACTTTTAAAGGGAAAAAATGGCTAAAATCTTAATTTAAGAACTATAAAAAGACGACATTCAATTATATTTATGTGTATTTGATGTTTTCATAAAACAAATAGTTTTACCAATATCTTAATATCAAATTATTAAGTGTAAAGGGCCTGTGTACAGTGTACACTACACAATGGTCTACTAAACTTGTTTTTTTACAGTCGTCTTCCTATTCCATAGTGTTATGAGTCCCAGATAACCCTGAATGAGTTTTGTAAACCTTGATCTAAGTTCACACGGGAACAAAAACTTGTTCGAATATAATTGACTTTAGTCAAAATATTTTCTGGAAACCTAAAAACCTGGAGTGCACAGAATAATTATTGGATTAAGATTCGTCAAGTTAGATTCATCTTCTTTAGATTATTTTTTTTAAAGACATGTTCAACATCCTTTACAATAAAGAACAAAATTAAGATTTTTTAAGCATATGCTTATAAAACTTGAAATAATGATAATTCATAAAATGATTAATGATGGAATACCATATAATTGAAAGATTTTTACGACACTTTGGTTCACATTACAATGCTACAATATTCTACCAGGCCAATGGCAATAGATTCTTATATTATAAACTTAAATTTAGTCCCTACACGGAGAATTTATAGATTTTTATATTATAGACTTAAATTAAGTCTCCACATCGAGTTTAAAATCTTAAGTCGAAGGACAAGCATAAAAAGAGTCTTATTTATATCAGGAGAAATCTCAGACAGTTTCTCGTTGATCTTGTGCTGTAGAAATTTGGTAAACCCGTATTAAACACCCCTTGAATGTTTCAAAGTGCTCGTGTGTCCCCAGAAATAAATCCTAATCTATCTAAGCCTTGAAATTATAAACAACTAATCCAACTAATTTGACAGTACAGGATTATAAAGTCAATCTTCAACATTTAGAATAACAATGCTTTAAGAGAACAGTCCCATTAACCTCAATAGAAAGGGAAAATTTATTTGAAGTACTGTCCCTTTTTTCTCACTGTACAACTTCTTCACAATGATATTTTACATGACTCATGGTGTACTTTGAAATTTTGTACAGTGAAAATTTGAATGTAGGAGACAGTTGAGGCGTTCGATTTACTGTACATATTGTACTTTTGATTGTACATAACTGACACATAACTGTAAATAATACTGTACATTGTGTACTGTACTGCTTTAAACATACACATAACTGACGAATACTTTGTAATTGTATATTTGTAAATAATACTGTACACTGTGTACTGTACTGCTTCATACAATTGTACATACCTGACAAATATCCTGTAGTTATATATCGGTAAATAATACTGTCCTATGTGTACTTTACGGCACCATACATACCTGACAAAAATCCTGTAGTTGTATATCGGTGCATGATTATCATGTAAAGGAGTTGCCCAGGTCAGGAGGACATTTCGGCTTGATATCCTAAAATAAACATGTAACGCTTTAATCTCTCAATTATATTCTGAGTAAGAGTTACTTGGTTATCAAGTACAATAGATGGCAACGTAGAATTTGAACACTCTCAGTACAGCTGTACATTCAGCTACATTTTAAATTTTACATATTTTTTATCTTTCAATTTTTAGCAATAATCATTATTGAGCTTTGATTTTTTTTGAGTTAATAAAAACGCTATAAAAATATAAATTTCTTAGTTTTATTGTTTTACCAAATTTGCCTAGCTAAACAAAATTAACAATTTTACTTTAGAGGGGCCCGAAGCGCCCTGAAAATTATAAAAAAATTATTCTCAATATATAGTTTCGAAAACATTCTTCTTGAGTGAAAAATGTATCTATAACTTCTGTTTCTATTGGGTCCCTACTGACAAATTATTTGAAAGTAAGTATTTCGATCTGTTAGAAAAGTTTCCAATTGGCTAGGGTATAATTAGGTCTGGGCACGTACAGACTTCCTTCAAATCCGTTCTTTAACAATTTGAAAAATAAGCAGGGACCGATACTAATTAATGTGAGCTCTGTTGCTGAACTATCTAACGCCGGTTCATATCTTGAATTACCGATTCAAAGTTAAAGATCTATAAGGATTTGAATCGGTGAATCAGCTGATTTAAACTGGCGGTAGGTAGGGACCTCTCTAATTCATCAAAGCTCATCAAGTAGCAGTTTGTTTTTAACTAACAACTAAACTTTCTGGTTGCTTAACGGTTTTTACCGTTCGTTAATGCAGTTGGTGTTCGCTAAGATCTCGATTTTTAACGGCGTTAACAGTAGATATACCAAATATACGTTAAAGCCTTCACCATTGGCGGTTAGTAAGTTCGTTAACGAGAGTTGTACTTCTAGATTTATAATTTTGGGGTTTAATTTTCAAAACATACAGATTACAGAAGTCGACACTCAAAACTTCATAAACAGAAATTATTTGCAAATGTCTTTCAAGTATTTTTTAATCTTAAAAATTAACGAAAATTGACTTTATTTTTAAGAGGCAACCGTTCGATCATTTAAATTTTCCGTTCATTTTATTTTATTTATTTATTCTTTTTCAAAAACTTGCGTTCGGTAGGGGAACGTATCAACGCCCTGTCCTAGGTATAATGTATTGTTTAACTAGTTGGTGAAACTTACAAATTGAATTCTACAGAAGCACATCTAAACAAAACCAGCACTTTAATACAGTTTAAACATGCTTATCGATGATTCTTTCAAGGTTGGAATAAGTTTAGAAATGTTGTTTTAAAAGGTGCCCATTACACTATGGAATAGAAATATTGTGCATTATGAGTATTTAATATTGTTATGAATCCAACAGTTTTATCAGTAGCATAAAAAATATACTTATTAAGTATATTTAGTTTTTGTTCAACTGACAAATCGTATTGTTGCATTAAATTGTAATGATTAAAACATAAATCAAGTTAATAGTCGTCTTACTATTCCACCGTTGCATTAGGCCAACTGTATTAACTAACCAACTTTGTTTAGAAAACAAATAAAAATATTTCTAAATTCTAAGTTGTTGTTTTTGTGATAATCCTGGAAAGAAGTTAGAACTGTAGAAACTTTAGAAACTATTAAGTGATCAAACTTTAGTTTAAGTTAAGACCATTTAGTAAAGTATCATCATCATTGTTTTTGTTTATTTTGTCAGGTCCATCAGAGTCATTATCAGGGGGAGGGGTACGTCCTCCAGTGTAAGTAGGATTGGTATACCTGGAGACCATAGGACGGCTAGGTGGTGGATCAGGTACGTCCTGAACTGTAAGTAGAATGGGTATACCTGGAGACCATAGGACGGCTAGGTGGTGGATCAGGTACGTCCTGAACTGTGAGTAGAATGGGTATACCTGGAGACCATAGGACGGCTAGGTGGTGGATCAGGTACGTCCTGAACTGTAAGTAGGATTGGTATACCTGGAGACCATAGGACGGCCAGGGGGTGGATCAGACACGTCCTGAACTGTGAGTAGAATGGGTATACCTGGAGACCATAGGACGGCTAGGTGGTGGATCAGGTACGTCCTGAACTTTGAGTAGAATGGGTATACTTGGAGACCATAGGACGGCTAGGGGGTGGATCAGGTACGTCCTGAACTGTAAGTAGGATTGGTATACCTGGAGATCATAGGACGGCTAGGTGGTGGATCAGGTACGTCCTGAACTGTGAGTAGAATGGGTATACCTGGAGACCATAGGACGGCTAGGTGGTGGATCAGGTACGTCCTGAACTGTAAGTAGGATTGGTATACCTGGAGACCACAGGACGGCTAGGTGGTGGATCAGTTACGTCCTGAACTGTGAGTAGAATGTGTATACCTGGAGACCATAGGACGACTAGGTGGTGGATCAGGTACGTCCTGAACTGTGAGTAGAATGGGTATATCAGCGGATCCACGGTTGTTCACAAGACAATGATAAACTCCAGAATCCTAAAAAGAAAATAAATTATATTTATACAAAAAGTTAAAAAAGATGTAAATGAATAAAAAAGTAATTGTTTATATTATTTATTTTTATAACTGACCTTTCTAGAGACAGGACTGAAGTTGAGCGTATAATCCTTTTTATCCAGGTTCCTGGTTCCAGATTTATCCCACTCTACAGTCTGATCATTATGCCGGAGTAGTCTGTATCCTAGAACATATAAACTTTTATATTTATTCCACTCTACAGTCTGATCATTATGCCGGAGTAGTCTGTATCCTAGAACATATAAACCCTTATCTTTAGCCCACTATACATTCTAGTCATTATCCTTAAATATCCTAGAACATAAATGATATGAACTAGTTACTAATTACTCGCCTTAAATTCTAATTTTTGTAATCACTCTATCTTTGTAACCTGATAGTTTAATTGTTGATATTAGATATATTAACTATTTGATCAGAGTTTAAAATATGAGAAGTAAAAACACCAGTTTGCAAAGATAAATCGAACTAGAAAAATAAAGTATGAGGGGTAAGAAGAAGAATAACCCTGTATTTTGATTTGAGTGATATATGTAATTTATTTATTTATGTTTATTTTATGTTTTAAACCAAACACTGTGTCTCCAATAATACCTTCGGGTCAAGTAGGATGTATATAGTATATATTGGTTGTAAGATAAATATGTATAATGTATTCCCTGCAATTCCTTAATCTATCATAACATGGGACAGGGATATCGTATGCATATGTATCTATTTTTATCTATAAAATATATCAAAGCAATAATAACTATTTGTCTGTTTGTTTGTATATTCGATCATAACTCAGGATTCATTAAAATTATTTTATAATTAATGATTTTATTTTGTAATTGGCCTGGCGATATCAAGTTTAATAAGTAAATTATAATCTTAATTATAATTATTTTGTTGATTAATCCATAGATTAATAACAATACAGATACTAGATAGAACACTAGATGTCGTCTTTTTATGATTTAAGGGTTTTTCGTTTACAATATCCCGGAGGCAGAAGCTTTGAGTAGATTAATAACATTACAGAAAGAACACTAGATGTCGTCTTTTCAAGATTTAAGGGTTTTTCGTTTACAATATCCCGGAGGCAGAAGCTTCGAGTAGATTAATAACATTACAGATAGAACACTAGATGTCGTCTTTTTCAGATCTAGGGGGCAGAAGCCCAAAGGAATTACGCGAATGCTCTCTCTGTGTCTTGCATTTTAGCGCTGCATACGCTTCTTCTTTGAGCTTCTGACTCAGGATTGTTGTAAACGAAAAATCCTTAAATATTAAAAAGACGAAATCTAGTATTCTATCTGTAGTTCACCCTGAACTAACCAGAGTGAGAAACATCCTGTTTCTTTTTTTTGAAATCAAACGTGCTTTCGTCTATATTTCAACAATCTTTAAACTTACAGATTTGTTTATTTTATACTTTTTCATTCAAAATGTATATGCCAACAAAAAAATATTTAAGAAAAAAGGCTATAAAGTTATGTATAAGGGGTCAAATTGTGATTGAAAGTCACAGCTTTCTGAAATATTGACAGAACCGTTAAATCCACGTGAGTTATTAATCTATTCGAAGCTTCTGCCTCAAAGTTATTGTGGACGAGAAACCCTTAAATCTTGAAAAGACGACATCTAGTGTTCTACCTGTATTCTCATAAATCTATTCGAAGCTTCTGCCTCAAAGTTATTGAGAACGAAAGACCCTTAAATCTTGAAAAGACGACATCTAGTGTTCTATCTGTATAGTTATTAATCTATTCGAAGCTTCTGCCTTTTAGGATTTCTTCTACTTTTTAGGATTTTTTTTCTGTTGATCTAGAGCAATAATTATCTACATTCACATTTCTCTAGAAAAAATATAAATTAGGAGATGAGATTATTAATAAGTGCATTTACTTAATAATATTATTCTAAAAAGAATGTTAAAACCAGGATTAGCATATTTTTTTCTTTTTCTTCCAAAATTCGAATGTAAGTATTGTATCTCCATCTATATATATAAAGTTGTAATCTCTGTTTGGCCATTTGTTTGTTTGTTTGTCCGATCATAACTCAGGAATCCCTGGACCGTTCGGCTTCAAATTTCTTTGATTGGCGCACTTGGGAGAGCCAAAGGAATTTTCTTAGCTTAGTTTTAGTATTTTAAGTTGAGTGGGGCGAAAATTTAGTTTCCCGGTAAAGATCGTCCAAGTGCGGGTAAACGGTGGAAGCAACTAAACCCTCTGCAACGCGCGCTGGGTTCCCCAAAGCCTACCTACAACTCTCCACCCTCCCATGGGTCCTGTATCCTCCCTACTCTACCCTCCCCTGGCTAGACCATGCTGTCATATATAATCCCCAGGTCCCTCTCCACTTGTCACGTTCCTTCCTAATCCCCCTCACACCTTCCCCCTATATCCCCTTAAATCCCCCCTCCCCCACCTGTATCCAACCAAGGCTTGATTATCCATTTTTACATTATGTTAATCCAACTTAGCCGAGAATTCAGAAACTTTAAAGTTTCGTTTTTTTTATCTTTCTGACCATAAATTCAAAAACAAATGGATTAGAGTCGAATTGTATGGATCTAAAACTGACAAGATTACATTTATATTTCTGCAGACAGAAAATATAACCTTGCTTATTGAATAAGAACCTGTAGACATATAAATCCTAGAATGTACATCCTAAATAACAACTAGATAAATCTTAATGTTCACATTTTATTATTTGGTTTGAAGAAAAAGAAAATCTTTATTCAAGAGTTAAATATAGGAAACATTTAATCTACAATTGTGTCAATTTTATGGAAGTAAATTGTGAACAAAAAGCAATCATCAAATTGTTTAAATTATTGTTCTCACGTAAAGGGTTGTAAAAAGTGACTAAAGAGTAAGGCGACTGTAAGGGATATGTTTTATGTTATTTTCCCCACAATATTTTTGGTTTTCTGCAACTGTAACTTTTTTGCCATTTAGTGTATATCATTTATGACCTAAATATTTCAGATAGGAGTTATATAGTCTTGTGTACTGTACTACCCGATACTTTAACCCTGAGCTTTGGGTTTTTCTAAATGTAAACAAATATTTACGGAATAAAAAGAATAGTTATCATTGATCACTATATAAATAGGAAAAAAGAGTTAGCTATTGTGTTAGATCTATAGCTCTTGTTCATTGGAACTGCATTCAATTATATCTGTGCAACCTGATGTCGTTTAACTTTGATATCCATAACAATGCATGTGTTCCGCTATGTCAAAGAAGGAAAGTATTTCATCATCAGATTGCCAAAGATATAGGAATTAGAAAGCAAGAATGTGATGAAGAACAAATTGCTTTTGATTACCATTATGAGAGTATGGGGGGCAGTCGGCACACTGGCACCCCTCGCACACCCACTCCACCAGGTAGATGTACGAGGAACCGGTTACTCCAGGACACGCTAGAGATATGTTGTTTCCAGATTCCGCCACTAGATGGGGTTGCTGTCTCCAATCTAAAATATTAAAAATTTAGTTGTTTACAAAAGATATTGCAGCTAGTCAAAAAGGGTATTATTACCAAACCTACCAACCAACAATTAAACCATTTATCAGTTTTCATCTCTTATTATAATTTCATAACGTGTTGATTATGACAATAACCATTCTGTTCATCAAAAGAACAGATTCAGACGCACATTTTCTAATTCACATATCTTTGCAACCTGATGGTTTACATCTTTTATATTTCAATTTTTGACTTTTTGGTCTAGAAGTATTGAACACTTTGAAATCTTTAATGAGAGAATGAGAAAGTTAAATAAACAAAAAATATCATCGTTCAAATTCTGAAAACTAAGTTTTGATTTACATTTTTAAGTTTGTCAACAAATGCTGATGCAGAATTGATTTCATAAAAACAAATGTTAAAATATGAAAATAAAACGAATAAGCAGTTCTACGAAATGTGGACAGCAAAAACCAAGGAAAATCCTTTCACTTCAATTTTCCCAATCTCACAAAATTGTATATTCGGCGAAATAAAATAAAAAATGTAAAGCTCTTGTACATTGTGTATTCATANTACAATTTTCGGCACAAGGTAACAGATTGAAGTACTACCATAAATTAAGCCGAGAGGGGGGGGGGGGTTTTGACTGTTCAAAAGGGTTGTACAGAGAGAAAGGGTTGGGGATACTTCAAGTCTATAGATACCATTGATTTATTACATAAGTTTATTAAATTTGGAAAATTATTAAAACTTTATTCATCATTGACAATGACAGCATGATAATACACTCTGAGAGAAATATAAAAAATGTTTACAAATTTTAGTGAAAAATTTAAATCTATAACAAACATTATTGAATATTTTTAGAACTTTTTTGAAGAATTTCAAATAAATGATAGTTATTATTTAATTAAATCTATTTTTAAAGGAAATTCTTAAAATACTGTCCCCTGGGTTAAGCTCGTTTTCTTCTGATATCTACAAAGAAGTAATCTCTATTTGTTTGTTTGTATGTCCGATCATAACTCTTGAACCCATGGACGGATTTGCTGCAGAATTTTTATTGGGGGACTTGGGAGAACCACGGGAATGTTCTTATCTTTTGGGATTCTAAGTAGAGTGGGTCGGCTTTTATAGTGAAAAAAGCTAAAATCGTATAATACGTCTAAGTGCGGATGAACGGCGGTGACAATTTTGAGACAAATATACAATTTGAAGCACTGCATGCAAACATTTTTTTTGTGCAAAACCTGTTTATTCTGGTTATCTTGGCAAATTGTTTTAAGGCAACATATTTTCACGTTTCCCTTTATTTAAATCCTATTCACAACTTACCCTGCAACTATTTTTCTGGGTAAACATGATTTCTTGTTTTCTATCAAAAAAATTTATGATTTTCAATCGGGGTTATCTGTGAAAGTGACTTTTTTTGCGACAGAAACAAAGAAAAAACGACAATATCTTTCACATTGCTAATTCGATAAAACGTAAAAGGGTAAAAGGTAGTTTCCCTGTAAATTGGAGTTCACTTTAAATTCTGTTGACAGTCCCTTGAAGGTTATCTAATTAATATTTTATTCATAATTAATTAATATTTCATAAATTCTGGTTTCTGTTTTATGTTTACATGAGAAACATAAATATCCCCCCCCCCCCCCTCCCAAATAATTTATTAAACTATATGCAATGCATGTACTTCAAATTTAAAATGTACTTTTGGTATTCAAGTTTCACAGTGTTAAAAAGGTTCAAACACACCTAAACTTGAAGAAAATCTGACCAAGCACTTATTACTGAAAGTGAATGTAAGCTGAAAAAGCGGGTCGTCAGTGTACTTAAGATTGCTGCGGTGAGGGAGGGTGCAGACACGAGCCTCCCAGATTTGCTATGCAGATCAAGCCTCCGCTATGCAGACACGAGCCTCCCAGATTTGCGATGCAGATCAAGCCTCCGCCATGCAGAGCAACTCTGGGAGGCCCGTGTCTGCAAGCGGAGGCTCATTACGTCCTTGGGTTCCCAGCTCCGGTATGCACCGAAAGCTTGTTTTTGTTTGGTAAACGTATAATAATCTTAAGTGACCCTTCATTTATACATTTAGTATGTCCGATTCTCAACAAAACCCGTAAAATAGCTTTGTCTAGTTAAGCCTATCGTACATCATACAGATCTCCAGTCCAACATTAAAGTTGCCATGTCTAGGCTGCAGGTTTCTACCTTATAGCGGCGTATCAAGGACGAAGTATAATATGTTCACTGCACGCACCTCTGTCCCTTTAGTAAAAGTAAATTCAACCTATATGAAGCATAAAGTTTTTCCGCGTCAACCTTGTTACACCGGCTAGTCCTGTCCATATAGCTAGGTACAGTACAAACTGGGACCGGAAAGGTTGACCCGGCTCGGAAATTCAAATGTACTACGGCTGCCCCTGACTGTACAATCCATTTGAGTTTTCAATTCGCAACCTTGATCATAAAAAGCTTAAAGAGCACGCCACTATGGAGTGTCTCTTGAAATTATGTCTATAATCTCTTTATGCAATTAATAATGGAGTGTCTCTTGAAATTATGTAATCTCTTTATGCAATTAATAATGGAGTGTCTCTTGAAATTATGTTTATAATCTCTTTATGGAAATAATAATGGAGTGTCTCTTGAAATTATGTCTATTGTCTATAATCTTTTTATGAAAATAATAATGGAGTGTCTCTTAAAATTTTGTCTATAATCTCTTTATGCAAATAATAATGGAGTGTCTCTTGAAATTTTGTCTATAATCTCTTTATGCTAATAATAATGGAGTTTCTCTTGAAATATATATGGATTAGAGAATTTGAGTTTGTGGCAAAGACTCAATTCCATCAGTGTAGTGGATATCTCGAAATTGAATTTCTCTAAGAAATAATCCAAATTATCCCTAAAACCAAAGATTATGAAATCAAAATAATTGGTTTCCCCTGACACTATAAGTGTTATGTTCCCCGTATAATAAAGTGATAAAAAGCATACTGAGCATATTCAATATCCCACGGCTTTTCAATTTTCTCCCCTTATCCATTTTTACAAAAATTATAGATTTTCTACTTCAAATATTCCAAATTGAAAAAGAAAGATACAAAACCTTTTTTACATTTAAATTCAACTCATAAAACAAACTAAGTTGTGCAGGTCTAAGAGGCCTACACTAGGCCGGGCACTGTTTACTGTAAATTGCCTGGCCCTGCCATCATTAAGCTGAAAACCAAGACAGCATAAGATAGGGTTGGGCCTGTACTTGCCGCAAGATCACTAAGGCCGGTATGAAGGGTTCGGTCCGGTTCGAATTCAAATTGATCCTAGTCAGATCACTAAGGCCGGTATGAAGGGTTCGGTCCGGTTCGAATTCAAATTGATCCTAGTCAGATCACTAAGGCCGGTATGAAGGGTTTGGTCCGGTTTGAATTCAAATTGATCCTAGTCCTCCGTACTCTAGCCTTGTCTTAAAATGAACAAAGTTATCAAAATTATAGAAGATTTGCCGGTTTTTTTTTGTATCAAAATGAAGTTTACCCAATGTAAGATTGATTAATTTTTGTAGCCCTATGCATGTACATTTTAAAAAACATTAACACTTGTTTTTCGCTGTAGTTTTTAACAGGAAATAGGTAAAGTTTTAATCGGTTTTTTGCGTAAGAGCTTTTAATCTTTTGATCACTTTGAATACCTTTTGATGGAAGCAAACTGTACCCCCCCCCCTCTCAACCCTTTCGATCCCTAGTTCTCCTTGCTTTAAAGTAAATATCTTTGATCAAAGAATATTCTAAATTTAATCTTTCATGACTTCGTGTCAATTTTTTTTACAACAAAGTTCATTAATATTTTAAAAAATGCGTTTACAAAATTCATTTGTGTTCGTGTACACAAACTCAGATTTCAAATAATTTTTACATTTAATTTTTAAGTTGTCTAAAATATTAAACAAAATCACTACTTAAGTTTAATCATTTCTATATAACTAACCTTAGAGGGCGCTTTGCGCCCATCTTCTAAATTAATTGTGAACATGTTCTCTTTGTGTACATCGTAAAACAAGACAAAAATAATTCACGGATTTTTACAAAAAATTTCGTGGATTTTCAAAATTTTCAAAAATATAATGAAGATCGAATTTTGATGGAGACAAATATTTGAAATTTTGATCATTCATAAACCTTCCCTGGAGTCCCTAGATGTCCCACAAAAAATTTGGGCCCGATCGGTTCAGCCGTTTTGACGTTTATTGGATACAAACAAACAAACAGACAAGCCAAATTTATATATAGATTGAATTTATTTATGATTTATTAATTAGTTCCCACAGGAACTAAATACATGACTTTCAACTTAAAACCTTCATTATCCGCCGCCTATAAATTTGAGGTCGTCTTCATATTCCCATTGGATCTAGCTAGGATCTCACAAATACTGTAAAGTCTGCAGTAACATTACTAAATTGAAAATACTTTTTATATTATTAAAATTCTGATACAATTTTCGGCACAAGGTAACAGATTGAAGTACTACCATAAATTAAGCCGAGAGGGGGGGGGGGTCTTGACTGTTCAAAAGGGATGTACAGAGAGAAAGGGTTGGGGATACTTCAAGTCTATAGATACCATTGATTTATTACATAAGTTCAGGGCCCAAAAGGTTATATAGCACAAATATGTGAAGTACACCTGCAGTATGGAAACAGTACAACAAAATGGCCGTTTTACACTTTTTTCTAGTTAATTCCTCTCTCTATATATATTCTATTCTCTATGCATGAAACATTTTACAGATTTTTGATTTTACTATTGATAACAGATGGTTCGTAAAAAATGTTTTTTTAAAACTTTTGTTGTATAAATGTTGTTGTTGTTGTATAAATGTTGTTGTTGTTGTATAAATGTTGTTTTTGTTGTATAAATGTTGTATAATGTATTTTAGAAAATCTTTTAAACTTATTAAGAAAGAAATTCATACAGATTAATTTATGTAGAAAAG